TAAACTCGTGCAATTTTCTTGAAAGGGATGTTGCAAAAATTTTATTGTGCTTCCGCATGCGTAATTATAACTAGAAGCATAGATGGAAAGGACACGTGTCGCGCGTGACGTTATGGGACGTCACAATAGAGTCCTAAAACTTGTTAGCATTTTTTGTTTGTCAACTTGGATAGAGTTGACGGAAGGACAGTATTGCACCAACTGGACAAGTTTTAGAACTTGATTGTATTTTTTGAAAGTTTTAGGACTTAGCCTATGACAGAGAACTGCAACTATATTCTCTAGAGCACCAAGAGGTCCTCGACACATTGATCTGTCTGGGATGAGGGACAATAGCAAAGCTGAGAGTGAGGAAACACCTCTCATAAGAAGACTAAGGAAGACTCCATCTACAAGTATGAATCATTCCTCTCCCTCTCCAAAAATCTCTATTTCGTCGCCTGCTCAATCTAGTGAAACGCCCTTTAGAACTTTAATGATAGACAGTTCTGCTCTCGTACAGTTAATGTTGGTTGCTTTAAAAAATCAATGTGCAACAATGGATAAAATCATGAAACTATTTCATGATATAGGCTTAGTGCCCCTAGTGAAATCGATAAATTTACGACCCCTACTCCAAAATCAGAAATACTAATTTCAGAGCCTCAAATTGCTAAGGAGGCTCAACAAGAGGAGGTTGAATCATTGAGGAAAAGAAAGTAGAAAGTTGGAGAAATTTCAAGAGCACAGGCAACAAAATCTACTGGTGAAACTCGTCATGAAGGGAAGAAGGACCATGATGATGATAGTGTCTATGAAAGTTTTGACCCCATGCCTGGATTCACAAAGTTAGCTCTTTCAAATCAAGGTTCTTCATGTCATAGGATCATTCTAATTTGTATAATTCAAGATTGTCCATGGGACTTTTGCCTTTTAAGGTCATTGATTTTCTATAATTTGAACATCGTGATTTGTTTCTCTCAAAGTATTTTGATGACCTGACCTAACAAAACTTTGCACTGAAACTGTTCATATCTAACCTACATTAGTTGCCTATTTTTATTCCAATTTGTCATTTGTATCTTCATATAAGGTTGTATTTAGTGTGGACAACAAGTCTTATTCTCTCACTATGAAGGAATTGGCCATAAATCTTTGTTTCTCAGCATTCTTTCGTGAAAATTTATGTTTCATTCAAAGATGCTTATATAACCCATACTAGTAACGTTGAGTTTTCGAGGGAAAACAAGGCTCTTGTTTCTCACAACTTCATGTGTCTCAAAATTTGCATGATTTACATTTCACTGTCATGTGCATTTGGCCAAAGGCTACCTCCACTATTAATGTGTCTAGACTTAAGGTTAGACTACTCTAGGCAATAATGAATAGCATCAATTTCTTTGTGCCCCATACAATACTTCTATACATGTATAGAACTATTAAAAAGAGATTTGGAAAGTTGTCATACGTTGCCTTGGTTACAAAAATTTCCAAGCATAAGGACATTCAAATTCCTCGTGAATTTATGAAGAAATAACTCTTAAGACTGATAGTTGGAGAGGATACAACGCTCAAAATGCATTTAAAGCCTACAGTGCACTAGAAGTCTTAAGGGAAAATGACACAAATAGTCCTTGAACTTTGACTCAATGTGCAATTTGGTCCCTGAACTTTTAATTTGTTCAATGTAGTCCCTAAACTTTAACCCAATGTTCAATGTGGTCCCTGAACTTTCAATTTGTTCAATGTGGTCCCTGAACTTTCGGTACATGTTCAATATAGTCCCTGAACTTTATAAAAATGTTCAATATAGTCCTTGAACTTGAATCAATGAAAGGACTACATTGAACATTTTTATAAAGTTCAGGGACTAAATTGAACATGTACCGAAAGTTCAGGGACCACATTGAACAAATTGAAAGTTCAGGGACCACATTGAACATTGGGTTAAAGTTTAGGGACTATATTGAACAAATTAAAAGTATAGGGACCAAATTGTACATTGAGTCAAAGTTCAGGGACTATTTGTGTCATTATCCCAAGTCTTAAAACTTGTCATGAATGTGCAACTGAGTCATAAAACTGTCAAAAAATTTAATCAAGTCCTAAAACTTGTCACAAAAGTGCAATTGAGTCGTAAAACTTGTCAAGCTGGTGTAATCAAATCTTAAAACTTATTAACATTTTACGTTTGTCAACTTGAACAAAATTGATGGAAGGACTTTATTGCACCAACTTGACAAGCTTTATAACTTGATTGCATTTTTTGAAATTTTTAGGACTCAAATGCACTTTCGTGACTAGTTTTAGGACTTTCAATACACTTATTCCAATTTTTTTGTCCTAAATCTTTTCCATAACTGCCATTTATAATTTTTATAAAACCTTCTTATTTTAAAGCAAAATTTTATATTTCCAAAAATTTCAAAATTGTTTCTAAAATTGCAAAATACAGTTTTATCTCCTATTTCTTCGCTCTCTCCAAACATGAACTTACGCATTCCCAAACCTTCTCAATCTCGTTCCAAAACTTTCCCTCATATAAAAAGCTTTAAACCTTCTTCATTACTTCAAATCACTACTCAAATGACACCCAAAGTTGCGAATGTTGCACAAAAGAAGTACGCAAGGGACCACCAATGGTAGAGAACTGCAACTATATTCTCTCGGGCACCAAGAGGTTCTCGACACATTGATATGTCCGGAATGAGGGACATCAGGGAAATTAGAAGTGAGGAAACACCTCTCAAAAGGCAACTGAGAAAAACTCCATATATTCTCAAACTAGTGAAACACACTCCAAAACTCCAAGGATAGACAATTCTGCTATCGTATAGTTAACACTAATTGTTTTGAAAAATCAAGGTGCAATAAATGAAGAAATCGTAAAACTATCTACTGATATAGGCTTAGTGCCCCCCAATGAAATCAAGAAATTTGTGATCCCTGCTCCAAAACTAGAGATACCCATTTCAGAGCTTCAAATTGCTGAAGAGGCTCAACAAAAGAGGGCTTAATTCTCGAGGAAAGGAAAGGGGACAGTTTGAGAAATTTCAAGAGCACAGGTGGCAAAACCTGTTAGTGAAACTCATCATGAAGGGAAAAAGGATGATGATGATGATAGGTCTATGAAAGTTTTAACCCAGGCCCGGATTCACAAAGATTAGCTCTTTCAAATCAAGCTTTTTCATGTTGCAAGATCATTCTAAGTTATATGATTCACTGTTGTCCAAGGGAGTTATGCCTTTCAGGGTCATTGATTTTCTGCACTTTGAACATTCTCAAAGTATTTTAATGACCTGAACCTGACAAAACATTGCAATGTAATTGATCATGTCTAACCTGCATTAGTTGCATATTTCTATTCCAATTTGTCATTCACATCTTCAAATAAGTTGGTATTTAGTATAAAAATAGGTCTTATTTTCTCATCGTGAAGGAATTGGCCACAATTCTCTGCTTCTCAACATTTTTTTGTAAAATCCTGTCTTGTTTACAAAACCTTTACCGGTATTCCTGAGTTTTAAGGAAAAATAAGGATCCTATTTTTCACAACCTCCTACATAAATTCATTGTTATGTGCATTTGGCCAAAAGCCACCTCAACTATTAATTTGTGTAGATATGAGGCTAGATTGCTCTTGGCAATAGTGAATAGCATCATTTTCTTTGTGTCCCATACAATATTTCTGCACGTGTATAGAACTTTCAAGAAGAGATTTGGAAAGCCGCCATATGGTTGGTTATAAAGATTTTTAAGCATAAGGAATCTAAATTTCTCGTAAGTTTATGAAGAAAGAACTATCAAGACTAACAGCTGGAGAGGACATAATGCTCAAAATGCATTTAAGGCCTACAGTACATTAGAAGTTCTAAAACTTGTTATGAATGTGCAATTGAGTCCTAAAATTTTTGAAAAATGTAATCAAGTCCGAAAACTTGTCACAAAAATACAATTAAGTCTCGAAATTTTCAAAAAATGCAATCAAGTTATTGTAGCCTTCCCCAAGATGATGGGTCGGTGGCGGCGAGGGCTGCAGCCCTCACCTCTCGCTTGGTGTCTCCCTGTTTTATAAATTGAATTTAAATAAATTAAAAATTAAAAATTATATTTAAACCAAAACGACATCATTTTAGCCACACCATCACCATGTATGATAGAGAAAATAAAAAAAAAAGCCCCGTCAACATTTCAGTTAGCCAAATTTGACAAAGTTAACTGAAGGATTCGATTGAACCATTTTGACAAGTCTTAGAATTTAATTGCACTTTTCTAAGTTTTAGAACTTAATTGCATTCATGACAAGTTTTAGGACTTCAAATGTGCATATCCTTAAAATTTTGACATTTTATTAAGGTATTACATTCGGCCAATTTTGGGCAGAAATCGCTTACATGGAAGCCATGACCGATACGGCTAGCGTTAACGTAGATAATTTTTAAAAGAAATTTCTCGATTTTTTTCTTTCCCTTTTCTATTTGTTAGTGGCCGGTTGTCAGCCATCAGCCACAGGAGATGGCCGACGAGGGCCGCCCTCCTCCGCCATAGGCGATGGTCGGCCTTGTTGGGCCTTGCCTGGGGGAGTGCGACTGGCCACAGGTGCAAAGAAAAGGGTAATAAGAAAATAAGAAGGGAAAAGAAAAAAATATTAAAAAAATGTCAACGTCAGTGTTGATCGTGCCATGTAGGACGGCCAGTATCCACTTAAATGAATTACATTGATAAATCATTTTAGTCTAAGACTAAAAACGTATAGGTATAATAAATTTAGGATTTTCTTGATAATCTCCCTCATTGTCCCGTACTTAGAAGTTTGGGACCTTAACATGGGACCTTTGAGGCCTTATTTGAACTTCTTTTTTTTATGCATTGGGCCGCATGGGTCCCATCAGGCACAGGGCCAGATCATGCCGGGCCCGTGAACAAAAAATGCAGCGCGTCCAATCGCTCCCCCCTGCGGTGATCCTCCGCCGCGACGCTCCTTCAGCACAATCACCGCCGCCACCTCCGCTGTAATTAAGTAAAAGCTCCGGTCACCGTCAATCCCGCTACTTTCACGGCACAACAGGAGCGCTGAAATCACTCTTCTTCTTCTCCCTCTTTTTTTGGGTTTTTCCTTGGCCCGTCAGCAAAAGAAAGGAATACCCAACACGTCCCCGCATGTTTTTTTCCGCATGCAAACCCGAAAACTTCGCCGATCCCACGACTCGCCGGCGATGCCTTCTCCGACAGCCCAGCCCGACCCCCAAGAACACCACCATCACAAGCACCGCGGAGACGACGAGGAGAACCGTCTCTTGCCCTCCGAGCCCCTCCACTCACCTCCCTCTCCGTCGTCGCCGCCGTCGTCCGACGATGACCGTGAGTGCGAGTTCGAACCCGAGTCCGCGTTCACGACCCGGGACAAGGTCCGGGTCTTCGACGTCGGCGCCGCCGTCCCCGCCGGGTCCGACGTCGCGCCACCCTTCTCGTGGAAGAAGCTCTGGCTCTTCACCGGCCCGGGTTTCCTGATGAGCATCGCGTTCTTGGACCCGGGGAACCTGGAGGGAGATCTCCAGGCCGGCGCGATCGCCGGGTACTCGCTGCTCTGGCTGCTGATGTGGGCGACGGTGATGGGGCTCTTGCTGCAGATGCTGTCGGCCCGGGTCGGCGTCGTGACGGGCCGGCACCTGGCGGAGCTGTGCAGGGAGGAGTACCCGAATTGGACGCGGCTGGTGCTGTGGGTCATGGCCGAGGTCACCCTCGTCGCTGCGGATATTCAGGAGGTGATTGGGAGCGCTATCGGGATCCAGGTGCTCAGCCGTGGGGTGTTGCCTCTCTGGGCCGGTGTCATCATCACTGCGTCAGATTGGTAGGTGACGATTGATCGTGAGTTGTTTTCCCCCCAGGTTCAAATTCTAAGTATATTAAGATTGGTTTAGAAAGTGACAGTGATAAAGTCAACATTTAAACAATCGAGCCAAATGCAGAGTTCACTAAGTTCTGCCCCGAGAATTTATCTGTTATTCTCAGAAGAACAGTATTAGTTTATTTAGCATTAGTCTTACCTAATATTATATTATAGCTGACTTAATAGACAAACCAATCACAGTGCTTACTAGCCTTAGAAAATATTTACAAGTAATCCTCATCAGCATGCGCATCACAATTGTTATGAGTTATCTCGAAGCAACATCAACATGTGTATCTCTGATATTGTTTGGACCCTGCAAGTGGAAGCATTAGTTTATTCCCAGAGATCACTGTTCTTGTATTTCTCTTGTGTGCAATTGGAACCTTGCAGCTTCGGGTTTACCATTGTGGTATTCGTCAACTTATGAAAAACTTTTGACGGTAGGAGGAAACTTGATCATTCCATAGTTTGTCCCTTGATGCTACTGGAGCTTGTTTGCTGCCCTTGCTGCAGCTTAGACAGGCAGTCTGAGGTCTATGCTTCTTTGATAGAATTGATCGGCATGTCTGAGGGTAACCATCATACTGGTTTAGGGTAGTGACAAAAAAGAACTCTCTGAATTGCATCCCATGTTTTGCAACTCGGACGTTGAAATGGAGCTTAATTCACAGTGAAGAAAAATGTTTGAATGTGTTATTATTAATAGCAGTATATGTTTCGGAGTTGATTAACTTATTAAATGACGAAAAGTTTGAAGAGTTTGTCAAGATCATTAATTTCTCACTGTGACAGAGAAATGGTAGTGCGTGCTAGGTCGCATTGAGGCGAATGGGGTTTGGCTTACTCTATGATGGGGAACACATTTTTCACATGCATTAAGAACCAAAATGGAAGGTGCCCTCACCACAACTTTTTTACACCTAGGACCCTGATACAGGGAAAAGGAGACGAGATCTTTACATGTGCTGACAGATAGATTTATTTTGTATATAGTCGTAGTTATGTTGGTATTAATATATGAATTCCACTTCATAGCTATATGTGCTGCAGCATGAACAGTTTCTCATGTCTTTACCTCGTTGTTGGCAATAAAATGTCCTAGAGATGCAGGTGAACTTTGAGACCTTGCCAACAGGCGGTTATTCTTCATTTGCAGTCTTTCTAAGCATTGGATGTACTGTACTCTCAATCTGGATTGTCATCATAACAATTACTTATTCATGCTTATGTCCTTTCCTTATGATAATTGCCAACTTTGCACACTTCTCTCTTACTGCATAAATTTATATTATCTGGTATGCACCGATAATTAACTGATTTCCCTTTATGACTAGTTTCATGTTTTTATTCCTTGAGAACTACGGAGTGAGGAAATTAGAAGCTGTTTTTGCAGTTCTCATATCAACAATGGCCTTAACCTTCGCCTGCATGTTTGTGGAGACAAAACCCAGTGGAAAAGAGCTTTTAACTGGTAAGGGACTTTTCTTGTTGCTTTGCTTGTGCGTTCATTTTAGCATCCACAAGATGCTATAGATGCAATTACTAGCTACCCGGGGCTCAGATCCTTTCTGCAGGTCTTCTCCTTCCAAGACTTAGCTCAAAGACAATTAGGCAAGCCGTGGGAGTGGTGGGTTGTGTTATAACCCCTCACAATGTGTTCTTGCACTCTGCCTTGGTGCAGTCGAGAAATATTGATCACCAGAACAAAGGCCGGGTCCAGGAGGCACTGAATTACTACTCCATCGAGTCGTCGGCTGCCCTTTCAGTCATGTTTGTCATAAATTTGCTTGTGACATCTGTTTTTGCCAAGGGATTCTATGGTACGGAAAAAGCCAAGACCATTGGGCTTGTGAATGCTGGGCATTATCTTCAGGAGAAGTATGGGGGAGGGTTCTTTCCGATACTTTATATATGGGGTATCGGTTTGCTAGCAGCTGGACAGAGTAGTACGATAACTGGCACCTATGCTGGGCAGTTCATCATGGAAGGTTTTCTCAACCTGCGTCTTAAGAAATGGCTTCGAGCAACTATCTCGAGGAGCCTTGCCATCGTGCCCACAATAATTGTGGCTATTGTCTTCAACACGTCTGAAGCTTCCCTGGACATTTTAAATGAATGGCTTAATGTGCTTCAGTGTATACAAATTCCTTTTGCGCTGATACCTCTTCTCACTATGGTATCCCAGGAGCATCTAATGGGTTCCTTCAAAATTGGTCCACTGCTTGAGGTGATTTCCTTTTACTCATATTTGGTTACAATATATTCTCAATGTGCTCTTGCAGTTCTCTTGGATCCAATTACTTTTGGTAATTGTTCTGAAATCACCATACGTGCTTCTTTTTAGATGTTATCCTTTAGGTGAACAACTTGGATTGACATTGTGTTGTGCCGGTGCCCAAATTTTGAGTTCATGCTAGCTTTTCATATGAGATGATGGCTTGGAGAAAGCTAGAGATGGAGGGTTAATTAGTGAGAATTGTTCAAGCTGCAATAATCCCCTTAGCCACTTGGAATTGCAGTAAATTTGACAAGTTTAGAGGGTTCCAAAAAAAGGAAAGTTGCACGTCTGTTGAAGGAATTAATCAGTGAGCACTTGCAAAATTGGCAATAAATGAAGCAATTAAAGGTTAAATAGAAATAAGGGGTGCTGAGACTTAAATGTTGATATGATCAAAATACAAGTCAATTTTTCCTGTCTAATCATTCTCTGCCTGTAGTGTACTTTCTTATTATGGCCAACTTCCTTTTTACGGCATAAGGTAGAGGAAGGATGGTGAGTCTTGAGAGATGGTAGAGGAAGGCTCGTGAGTCTTGAGACTCAGGTCTAGTCCTAGCGAAGCGAAATAGCGGCTCTTATCAACTGGACCAATCGTACTTTGCCTCATCTTTTATATCTTGCTCTACTTACCGGACAACTGTAATTTGCATCTGAAGCACGAACTGCTCAAAGGAAAGTAGAGCAACCATGTTTGACTATCCAAACACTTGACTAATGTTTGTTGTTGAATTCTGTTGTTCTTTGTTTTTATCATCTTTCTTTTTGGCTTTGCACTTTTGTGCACATCTTACTCGTCACCACCTTATTTTGGGTCCAAATTTCGCCAAACTCTTTGCAGTATGTACTTAAGGATTATTAGACTAGACATGATCTACTTGTTACAGCTGATGCTCACCTGATGATTGACTTGTTACTTGTTTATCGGTTTTCTAGAGGGTGGCCTGGACTGTGGCTGCAATTTTGATAATGATCAACGGCTATCTGTTGGTGGATTTTATAACTTCTGAAGTGAAGGGGCTGTTCATCGGTTTCATGGTTTGCATCAGCACGGCAGCCTATATATCCTTCATCATATATCTCCTCTTGTTTGGTCGCATAATTTCTTCTGCTTGGCTCAGCACAAATTTTTCTCGCATCGGACTTTGAATCTACAGAAGTTTCCACTCGCAAGAACCATCAGAGAAAAATTGTGCCCGTAGACCTTGATTGGAATGTCACTTGAATATGGTCAATGCAATTTGTTCATATTAGGAGCGGCAATCTCTAACTTTTTGTGAGGAGCCAAGAGGGAAACGAACCAAAGTAACCTAAAGAACTGCGTACCCAGCTGTTGAGAAGCATAGTGAACTCGCTCCAATCAAGGTTCCCGCACCTCATATGGTATATTGCTTTTATTCCTTTATTCCCACCTTTTCTCTTTAGAAAGCAATACGTAGCAAATGGGACAGAACATATATTTGGAAGTCTTCTGGCTGAGAGAAATTGAAGAAACACAATAAGATTGTCTATCAGAGTATATAGAAGAGTAGAGAGGATGATGAAAGAGGTCCACCCAACCAATGCGATTGGAATACTGGGAATTTATTTTGTTAAGCCCAGGGTTGCTAAGAATATGAAGTCATATTATCAAGTGATGCAGCAAATACTAGTTGATAAGTTGTATGTCAAACGCTGGACTAGAACGCATATCATGTTGTTTTCAAATTATATGGTAAACCCGTCTTTGCGCCCTTGGCACTATATGATTTCGAGATCATGTGGGTCATGCACATTTGATGAAAGTCGATAGATAAATTTAGGTTTTACTTCCGTCTTGTCATGAAAGTAACAAATGCGTTTTGCAGTTTGTAGGTACTGTTGAAGTTCCTTGAAAATTGGCAGATGAAGGGCATAATCTTAGGTCATTTCTTTTGATTATAATCTAAAGTTACAGAGAGTACTTCTAATCGAACTTTTCATTTCTTTTCATTTCTACATTCAGGGGGGAACTACGTTTGACTGCTTTCCATGTCAAACATTGAACTATCTATGTCATATATGAGTATGAACAACAAACTTAGATCATCAAGTTTTCCCCCTATCGTTAAATCAAATGTAAAGCATAATCCACCACCAAATTTTACACGAAGGGACAAAGATGGATGTGGGTATGATTAATCAAGCGCTACAAAGGGCTCGCCACTAATTTAGACATTGCAAAAAAATGGCCAAGCTTTTCATAACATAGATTTTGAAGTCCTAACTTATAAAGTGATTTTTATAGTGTGGACGAGAGCATGTCGAAGCAAATGCGATATAGGGAAGTCCAACACAAAAATCTAAGTTAATAGGTTGAGGGAAATCACATGAACGTAAAGAGTATATGAACCAAACCTCGTAAACAAATGATGTGAGATACTTTAATGGTAATCATTTATTTGAGAAGATAATCGGTGCTATACTATTTCTCGATTATTTACGACAATCTTAAAAAAAGAAATATCTTTTCTAAAAGTAACCGTATAGAAGATAACAATGTATTTTTACCAAGTGGGACAAAATTGTAATTAGAATTTCTCGAGATAATTGTCATGTAATATCACAATCTCTGCCATGCCTAATTCGAATTTGAATCTAGATCTTTCTCATCCTACAGTTATTTTTTAAAATTAGCATTAATGCGTGTGATATGAAGCAAAAAAAAAAAGGAAGAAACTATTTATAATACTGAAAATTATAGAACCCAATGATAAGTAATTTCATAAGAAAATGTTTATCACTACACACAAATGATATGAAGAGAGAACTCTAATCATGTGAAGCCCTCCTTTGTAAAATCTCTTCATGCATAATATCTCTCATATAAATTACATGTGTATGGTGCGCATACATAACATGTTGAAAAGTTGAAATTGAAATTGAAATAATTAAATCTAGAGTGGCGCTATTTCCACATCCTTTGGGCTACCCCCATTTTTGTGTTAATTGAATGAATTACCCTTTCACCACATGATTTGGTTCAATATTTCTCATTAACATCACCCCTCTTAATAATATTTACTACCGTATTTGTTCCAAATTCCCAAAAATAAATTAATTAACTTATGTACAATGTCCTTTTGTTTCGGTAAAACTAAAAGATATCTTTTTTCTAACTAAAACTATATTATAAAGTTAGAAGATATTTTTGCTTTTTGCCGTGATAAATTCATCAATTTGTTAAAGATATCATGTTGTTAATTTGACTTGCTAGATGATTGCTCATTCTTTCTTATGTCCTGGTTTTAGGTGATTTTGATGGAACTCCAAATCTAATTACATCTCCTTCGCATTCAAACTCATAAATCTTCATAGAAAAAGAATTTTGAGGACAAAATTCGCGAGCAATATTGATAACTTTCTTCATGGTTGAAAAATAAAAGAAGTCTAGTCTTGATCTTTCTCTTTCCTTTTCTTTTTTTCATTTTTTAATCTTTTACCAGTCCTTATGTTTTTTTTTTTTTTGGTCGTACCAGTCCTTATGTTTCAAGATCGGAAGAAACAAATTAATTAAAATCCTGAATTGAGTTTCTAGTTGAATACACAGTCAATTTTTTTTCTTTTTTGCTATTTGGGAGGAAAAAATAAAGTGCTCTCTTCAAATGAGGTTCAAGAAAGAATAAAAAAGGAAAATTTTGAATAATATCGAGATAGGAAAGTAGCAATTTTTTTTTGGTTGAAAGTAATTCATTGATCGTTAATCCCCTTAGCCACTTGGAATTGCAGTAATTTCGACAAGTTTAGAGGGTTCCAAAAAAAGGAAAGTTGCACGTCTGTTGAAGGAATTAATAAGCGAGTATTTGCAAAATTGGCAAGAAATGAAGCAATTAAAGGTTAAATAGAAATAAGGTGTGCTGAGACTTAAATGTTGATATGATCAAAATACAAGTCAATTTTTCCTCTTTCTGATCATTCTTTGCCAGTAGTATACTTTATTATTATGGCCAACTTCCTTTTTACGCATAAGGTAGAGGAAGGATGGTGAGTCTTGAGAGATGGTAGAGGAAGGCTCGTGAGTCTTGAGACTCAGGTCTAGTCCTAACGAAGAGAAATAGCAGCTCTTATCAACTGGACCAATCGTACTTTGCCTCATCTTTTATATCTTGCTCTACTTACCGGACAACTGTAATTTGCATCTGAAGCACGAACTGCTCTAAGGAAAGTAGAGCAACCATGTTTGACTATCCAAACACTCGATTGCTGATTGTTGTTGGATTCTGTTGTTCTTTGTTTTTTATCATCTTTCTTTTCGGCTTTGCACTTTTGTGCACATCTTACTCGTCACCACCTTATTTTGGGTCCAAATTTCGCCAAACTCTTTGCAGTATGTACTTGAGGAATGTTAGACTAGACATGATCTACTTGTTACAGCTGATGTTCACCTGATGATTGACTTGTTACTGGTTTATCGGTTTTCTAGATGGTGGCCTGGACTGTGGCTGCAATTTTGATAATGATCGACGGCCATCTGTTGGTGGATTTCATAACTTCTGAAGTGAAGGGGCTGTTTGTCGGTTTCTTGGTTTGCATCGGCACGGCAGCCTATATATCCTTCATCATATATCTCCTCTTGTTTGGTCGCATAATTTCTTCTGCTTGGCTCAGCACAAAGTTCTCTCGCATTGGACATTGAATCTACAGAAGTTTCCACTCACAGGAAACCCCATCAGAGAAAAATTGTGCCCATAGACCTTGATTGGAATGTCACTTGAATATGGTTGATGCAATTTGTTCATATTCGGAGCGGCAATCTCTAACTTTTTTGTGAGGAGCCAAGAGGGAAACGAACCCAAGTAGCCTAAAGAACTGCGTACCCAGCTGTTGAGAAGCATAGTGAACTCGCTTCAATCAAGGTTCGCGCACCTCATGTGGTATATTGCTTTTATTCCTTTATTCCCACCTTTCCTCTTTAGAAAGCGATACGTAGCAAATGGGACAGAACATATATTTGGAAGTCTTCTGGCTGAGAGAAATTGAAGAAACACAAATAGATTGTTGATCGGAGTGTATAGAAGTGTATGATGAATGTCATATTTACCAAGTGATTGGAATACTGAGCACTTACTTTGTTAATCCCGGTGTTGCTAAGAATACGAAGTCATATTTATCAAGCGATGCAGCAAATTCTAGTTGATAGCTCGTACGTCAAACGCTGGACTAGAACGCATATTGCGTTGTTTTCAAATTATATGGTAAACCTGTCTTTGCGCCCTTGGCACTATTGATTTTGAGATCATGTGGGTCGTGCACATTTGGTGAAAGTCGATAGATTAATTCAGGTTGGAAAAATGACACAACAGTCCCTAAACTTTGACTCAATGTGCAATTTGATCCTTGATCTTTTAATTTATTTAATGTAGTCCCTGAACTTTAACCCAATATTCAATGTAGTCCTTGAACTTTCAATTTGTTCAATGTGATCCCTGAACTTTTGGTACATGTTCAATATAGTCCCTGAATTTTATAAAAATGTTCAATATAGTCCATGACCTTGAATTAATGGAAGGACTACATTGAACATTTTTATAAAGTTCAGAGACTATATTGAATATATACCAAAAATTCATGGATCACATTAAACAAATTAAAAGTTCAGGGACGACATTGAACATTGGGTTAAAGTTTTGAGACTACATTTAACAAATTAGAAGTTCCGGGACCAAATTACATACTGAACTAAAGTTCAGGGATTATTTATGTCATTATCCCATTTAGGTTTTACTTCCGTCTTGTCATGAAAGTTACAAATGTGTTTTGCAGTTTGTAGGTACGGTTGAAGTTCCTTGAAAACTGGAAGATGAAGGGCATAATCTTAGGTCATTTCTTCTGATTATAATCTAAAGTTACGGAGAGTACTTTTAATCGAACTTTTCATTTTTTTTTTTCATTTCTACATTCTGGGAAGAACTACGTTTCACTGCTATCCATGTCAAACATTGAGCTATCTATGTCAATAATGAGTATGAACAACGAACGTAGATCATCAAGTTTTCCCCCTATCATTAAATCAAATGTAAAGCATAATCCACCACCAAATTATACACGAAGGGACAAAGATGGATGTGGGTATGATTAATCAAGCGCTACAAAGGGCTCGCCACTAATTTAGACATTGCAAAAAAATGGCCAAGCTTTTCATAACATAGATTTTGAAGTCCTAAATTATAAAGTGATTTTTATAGTGTGGACGAGAGCATGTCGAAGCAAATACGATATAGGGAAGTCCAACACAAAAATCTAAGTTAATAGGTGAAGGGAAATCACATAAATGTAAAGAGCATATGAACCAAATCTCGTAAACAAATAATGTGAGATATTTTAATGGTAATCATCTATTTGAGAAGATAATCGGTGCTATACTATTTCTCGATTATTTACGACGATCTTAAAAAAAGAAATATCTCTTCTAAAAGTAACCGTATAGAGAGATCGACATGAACTATGTTTCATATCTTGTCACTTCATACACGCACGAAACCCGATTTAATGAAGAAAGTTAGAAGAGAGGACATCTCTATATTGTAAAGCAAATTTGGAGGATTTCAACCTAAAACGCTTGCCCCAAAATTTCATGAAATCACATGCATATTGCACATTCTAAGAAGATAACAATGTATTTTTACCAAGTAGGACAAAATTGTAATTAGAACTTCTCGAGATAATTGTCATGTAATATCACAGTCTCTGCCATGCCTAATTCGAATTTGAATCTAGATCTTTCTCATCCTACAGTTATTTTTTAAAATTAGCATTAATGCGTGTGATATGAAGCAAAAAAAAAAAGGAAGAAACTATTTATAATACTGAAAATTATAGAACCCAATGATAAGTAATTTCATAGGAAAATATTTATCACTCCACACAAATGATATGAAGAGAGAATTCTAATCATGTGAAGCCCTCCTTTGTAAAATCTCTTCATGCATAGTATCTCTCATATAAATTACGTGTGTATGGTGCGCATACATAACATGTTGAAAAGTTGAAATTGAAATAATTAAATCTAGAGTGGCGCTATTTCCACATCCTTTGGGCTACCCCCATTTTTGTGTTAATTGAATGAATTACCCTTTCACCACATGATTTGGTTCAATATTTCTCATTAACATCACCCCTCTTAATAATATTTACTGCCATATTTGTTCCAAATTTCCAAAAAAAAATTAATTAACTTATGTACAATGTCCTTTTGTTTCGGTAAAACTAAAAGATATCTTTATTCTAACTAAAACTATATTATAAAGTTAGAAGATATTTTTGCTTTTTGTCGTGATAAATTCATTAATTTGTTAAAGATATCATGTTGTTAATTTGACTTGCTAGATGATTGCTCATTCTTTCCTATGTCCTGGTTTTAGGTGATTTTGATGGAACTCCAAATCTAATCACATCTCCTTCGCATTCAAACTCATAAATCTTCATAGAAAATGAATTTTGAGGACAATTAAGATTCGCTAGCAATATTGATAACTTTCTTCATGGTTGAAAAATAAAAGACGTCTAGTCTTGATCTTTCTCTTTCCTTTTCTTTTTTCATTTTTTAATCTTCTTCCAGTCTTTATGTTTCAAGATCGGAAGAAAAAAATTAATTAAAATCCTGAATTGAGTTTCTAGTTGAATACACAGTCAATTTTTGTTTCTTTTTTGCTATTTGGGAGGAAAAAATTAATTTTTCTCTTCAATTTAGGTTCAAGAAAGAATAAAAAAAGGAAAATTTTGAATAATATCGAGATAGGAAAGTAGTAATTTTTTTTATTGAAAGTAATTCATTGATCGTTAATTTGCCTACAAATATATCGGTGACTACTAGTACATGCTTCATGAAGTTGAGACTAATTTGGTCAGTAAAAAAAAAGTGAAAGTTGCACATCTTTTCCATATTTAGCACATATTTTCCCTCTTGCGCATATAATTTTAAGTGTGCATGGAAGATTTTGGTTACATATTTTTTTTTTATTTTTTGTTTTGTTGAATTGGTTACATATTTTAAATTGGTGAATTTAGACTAAATTTTTTTTTCATAATTGAAGATGGAAGTTACAATTCCTAAAATGCAATGGTTTTTCGATTTTTGTGATGTTATCAAATTTTTACTTCATGACATTTAATTTAAGTAAGATAATGTAATCAGTGTCCAAAGAGGCAAATTGGGTCGTTAAGATTTTTAAAATAGGAGATATTATGAATTGGACTAAGGAGTTTTGACTATTCTGAAAATTCAGTCATGTAGAGAATAATATGGTTTCCATTTGCATTCCGTAAGGAGTGAGAAATAGTAAACCAATAAATGTATAAAAAGAAAAACATGTATTTGAAGATTTGTCTATGTTGGAAGAATATTTATCTTGAATTGATGTAAATTTTGAATTAGGAAAGCATTATTAGACATTCACAGAATCATCTTATTGCCATCTTGATTACTTGTAAAATTACAAAAATTTCTCACGTTGTACGCATTCTTTTTACCAAGTGATATTGCACGAATATGGTTCAATACAATATGAGCTTTCGTGAATTTTATTGGTTTAGTTTGAGATTGAAACGAACATGAGTTTGCTCCAGATAATCAAAGTGGTAAAATAATAAAAATCGATATTTTCCACGCAAACTAAGGAAGATACAGCAGTATCATCTATCTTAATCAAGTACACATTTAATTTTTTGGTAACTGCTTTACGTGCATACGTCGGGATTACTTTTTACGCGTTCCATGTAGATGACATCAAATCGAACCCCTCGAATTTAATTTTAAATTGCTCGTAAATGGCAAACAAACAAAATCGACAAAAACGGACGCATGCAAAGTAACAAACCCCTATAAAGGGTTAGGAAGAAAAAAGTTACTTAAAGGCTCCATTTATTTCGTGAAAAATCTTAAAAATAATTATTTTTAGTGCTTGAAATAATTAGTTAATAAAAAATATTTCATTATCGACGATAATTTATGCTTAAATACTTTCGTGAACGATGAAATTTTTTTTCATTCGTTCATTTTCGTAATCGATACGTGCGATCATTTTTAATAAAATGTTTTCCAGGTCGTTCGTTCTTCGCGAAAAAAAACCCACCAAAAAATGTAAAATCGAAAAAGAGAGATTGCGAAAAGGGAGGAAATCCGAGTGGGCCCAACGAGAGGAACAAAACCCATGAAATAGAAAGGATTAATACCACGAAAAAATTTTAAACTGGTATATTCGCTACAAATTTACCCTTTGTTAGTTTTCATTAAATTATATTAGGGAAAACATCACAAAAAATCCCAAACTATGCCACTTGTGACAAATTTACTCTAAACTTTTTTTTTATGACACAAAAAACCCCAAACTATACCATTTGTGACACATTTACCCTATAATACTTTTGCCCAAGGGTATTTTCGTCTTTTTTCCTTTTTCTGTTTTTTTTTTCCCTTTTTTTTACTTTCTTCTCTTTTCCCTCCGCCGGCCATGGCAGAGGGAAACCGGCAAGGGCGACCCTTGCCGGCGTCGGGCAAGGGCTACCCTCGGCTTCCCTCCGCCATGGCCGGCGGAAAGAAGAGAGAAGAAAGAAAAAAGAAGAAGAAAAAGACGAAAATGCCCTTGGGAAAAGTATTGTGGAGTAAATGTGTCACAAGTGGTATAGTTTGGGGTTTTTCGTGTCGCAAATAAAAGTTCAGGGTAAATTTATCACAAGTGGCATAGTTTGGGATTTTTTGTGGTATTTTCCCATTAGATTAATACCATAAAAACTACAAATTGATATATCTGTGACAAACGAAGGGTAAAACCCTAAACCGGTACACTCGTCAACTTCCACGTATCATCCAACTCAGCAATTCGACTGTAAAATTTAACGGAAATTAACAGATAATAAATTTGTCATGGATTTACCAGTTTGAGAGATTTTTTGCAATCAAAAAAATTAACTTGGAATAAATTTGTCCCGGATCGTACCGGTTTGAAATTTTTCGTCGCATCGACCCGAAGAAAAAGAAGTTGATCAAAGAAAAGTTTCCGAGAAAGGGAGAGAGAGAGAGACTGCGAAAAGTAAGGGGGGGGGGGGGGGGGAGAGAGGAAATCCAAGTGGGCCCCACCCGAGGAGGTGGGCCCGAACAGGAGGAACAACCCAACCCCGAGCCTCCACGCCGCGCAGCCCTTTTTGTACGAGGGCGAAGCAGCACCACCACCACCACCACCGGCCCCCTGTCCTTTTCGCCTTCATGAAAACTTTCCATATATTGCATGCAGAGCAAGCGAAGACTCTCTCTCTCTCCCTCTCTCTCTCTCTCTCTCACACACTCCCCTCAGTCAACCGATTTCCCGTTTCGTTCCCCTCCCTCCCTCCGGTCTCGATCTTCCTTCCCATGACCCAAATTCCCCAATCTCTCCTCCTCCACGCCGATATCTTTCGTATTCTTGATCGAATCCCCTCCCAAAGATCTCGTCTTTGATTATCTTTCTTGTTTTTTTTTCAAAACTTCCCCTTCCGTTCCGTATCACCCCCCTCCCCTCCTCCCCCTCTATATATTACACGCGCACGGCGCCCCGAGATTTCTTCTCGCCTAACCCTCCTCCTCCTCCTCCTCCCTCGCCGCCTCCGGGAGTAGAAGAGACCACCACCGTCAGCAGCAGCCGGCGGCGGCGGCGGTGGCGGCGGCGGCCGTTTTCTTCGGTTCTTTGTCCGTCGACCCATGTCGCTCCCCGTCGAGTCCCGCGACACCCGCGTGTTCCCGCCCCGCCAAACCCCCGCCGCCCCGTCGCGATCGGACCTCGCTCGGGACCGCCCCCCGGCCGAACCCTTTTGGCCCCGAACCCTAGACGCCGCCCTCGCCCGCCTCAGCCTCCTGCCTCCTCCCCACGATCACGGGGCGCGCGCGTACCCGGGCCGCGCCGAGGTGGACTGCGGCGGCGGCGGCGGCGGCGCGGGCGAGGTTTGCCCGGCTGCTTTGGAGGACGGTGGTGAGCTGAGCGGCTTGAGCGGGCGGAATTTCGGTGTCTGGTCCCCGGAGTTTCGCCACCCCGGGGAGCAACGTCGGCGGCGCCTGCTGGGGTCTTGTCCTGACGGGCGAGGAATTTCTGGGGCCGAGGCCGAAGCGCTGCGTCCGGCGTTGAACACTTTTGGCCAGGTTTGTCTGTATAGGGATGGGTCGTCGGACTGTTATACGGATAGGATTAGCCAAGTCTCGCAAAATACAAATCTTTCGCAGCAAAACGGGTTGTTAAGCGATTATGCCAGGCTTTGTTTGGGTGTGATTGATAATGGCTCCCGTTCGAACGGGCTTGTTCCAGGAAGTAGTCTGAATGATAGGAGGGCGCAATTTGCGCAAGCTGCGTTGAACTGTACATCTGTAGAAGCTATGCGAGGCCGGATAGAGTCCATTGCCACAGATCCAGAAGGCTTCCGGGTTTTGCTCTCCATGATGGAGAGGATGGACAGGGATGAGACGGAACTAGTTTTCTCGGAGACTATCGGGCGTGTTGGCTATTTGATGACCGACCCTTTTGCGAACCATGTGGTGCAGAGGCTCGTTGAAGTCTGCAGCGAGGAACAGAGGATGCAAATTTTGTATGCGGTGACCTGGAATTCTCAAATCGTTAGCATATGCCTTAGCACATATGGGTATGTTGTGGCCTCAACACCTATCCCTCATAAGTCTACGTCGGAGTTTGTTTGGTATACTGATAGTCTAATTCTTTTGCAGGATTCGTTCAATACAGAAGTTAATGGACACACTTACCACTCGTTGGCAAAAGAATGTGGTTATACATGCCCTCGCACCTTTTATGTATCAATTGATCAAGAATGCCGTCGGTCACCATGTTATCCGGCACTGCCTAAAGGTCTTCTCAAATGAAGATAACGAGGTAGTGTGACATAGCATGGAATGCTTACACTTTTTTTTATGTTTTTAGAGGGTTCTCTCTCCTGCTAAGCTCCTATTTATTAGGAATTAAACTGTTAGCTTTTTTTAATTATTGACTCTTATGCTTACCTAGGGAAAGGAGATTATCAATATTTGTGGAATTTATTTACAATGCTCCAGACTTACTCCTAGAGAGCAGCAAAATATGTTGTGTCAAGCACCATCTATCTGAACCTATTTCTTAGCTAGGGAGTATTTCCTCTTAATACTTTAACTACCCAGTAATGCACTAAGTTCTAGTGAGAGAGAATGAAGCTCAGTTCCTGTTTGAGAATTATCCAGGAGAAATCAAATTTACATAGTTCAGACACAATTAGTCAGGCGTCTGGAAAATTCACCATGTCACCATCCGTTTTTCAGTTTGCTTGAAGATTGATCTTTGTCATACTTTTTGGTCGCTTTAGCTTTAAAACATTGAATAATGCATTTTATTCTATTGTTTAGACGTAAGATCAACTCACTAGCGTCCTAGTCCCAAAGTTACATTATTCTTGAGCTCGACAAGATGAAACGATATACATTTATTGTATGCTACACTCATGTTGCCCTGTGTAATTTTCGTAAAGTGGAATCCTCTTTCTGTGAAAGAAACCGAAAAGAGAACATAGGTTGATCTAAAAGATTGAATTAGTGCAGCTTTTGATAATAAACACAGATTTATGTAAGCCAATCAAGACATAGGAGTAACAGTTGCTACGTGAAAAGTATATTCAGTTTGGATCAACTCTAGTTAATATCTGGTTGATGTATAAGAAGAAAAAGAAACATAGAGATGTCTGAACTTTGAAGACATCTATTTTAATGGATCAGAAGCCTTTTTGCTGGACTATAAGACAAATGCTGAGATGCACCAATGATAATAGATGGATCTGACTCATAAGAAAAGAAAATGAAGAAAAGCAATCATTGGGTCAGTAAAAGCAGGCAGTACCATTTTCCAAACCTTAGATTGTGCTGCCCATTGAATTGGGCATTCCTCTACTTGGTTCAAGCTGTTCTTACTATTCTCGGACTTGCTCTCCAAAGGATAAACTCTACTGGCTCCATTAACTATTTCGGTACTGCATTTGTTGTGCAGATCCTTTATGATCTGGTGGCTACTAAGTGTTATGAGATTGCAACTGATAAAAGTGGATGCTGCATTCTGCAACAATGTGTTGAACATGCTCAAGGAAAGCAAAGAGATCGCCTCGTGGCTGAAATTACAGCCCATGCCCTTCTGCTAGCTGAAAACCGCTATGGGTTAGTTTCTCTATACCCTCCTCATCCTACTCTTATTATATTCGATACCAAACTCAACTTTCTTTAATTTCAATTGGTTTTTCTTTGTTTTTTCTATCCAGCAACTATGTGGTACAACATCTGCTCACTTTGGAGATCCCACAAGTTGCTGATGATCTTCACAGACAGTTCCTTGGCAACTATGCAGTTCTATCCTGCAATAAGTATGGCAGCAATGTCGTGGAGAAATGCTTGAAAGAGATGGGATACAACCAATTCAAACAAATTGTTGTGGAGTTGCTTGAAGAGTTCCTGACGGTCCTCTTAAACGAATTTGGAAACTATGTCATCCGAAGGGCAGTTGAGGTGTCCAAGGTCAGTTTTCACATGCATTCCACAGGCCATAACGTGTTCCATATCTTTCTTATACATGATCAGCATTTGTGGACGATTAATCATCACCGAGCTCTATATTTCAAAAGATTTTCTTTTCTTTATTATATATATCCCTCTCCCCCAACCCCAAGTCCCCGGGAAAAAAAGAGAAAAAAGTAAACTGCTAAAATCAATATTTGAACTCGCAATAATTACGATCGATATGTTATCCCAAGACAAAGCACTGTCAATATAAACAAGGTTTTAAAGCCCTTATAGATTCTTCTCTGGACTTCGTTTTGACATTGGAGATTAGCTTCATGTCATTTTGCATGATCCATCCCTCTGATTGCGAGCCTGCCGTGGCATCTTTCCTCATTTGATGCAGGAGCAGCGGCAGACCCAGATCTACTACATTTTGTCAGCAGAGCTCAAGAGATATGATCCACTAATCAAGAGCAATCCTTATGGCAAGAAGGCAGTCTCTCGGCTCGAGAAGCAAAACATATTGCCCTGATGAGGATATGTTTTTGCTCAGAAATACAGTTGCATATTTTGATTTCCGCCAGTTGGTCTTTAAGCTAACCTTTCTGTTGGTGTTTGTTGTTGTTGTTGTTGGGTCTTAGGCTAATAAGTGTTCTGTGCCGGTGTTTGGTCCAGAGTTCATCTTGTCATCTGTGGCTTGTGAAATAGGGAGACATATTTGAGTTCATTGAAATGTTGTTTTTCATTTCTCTCACACAGACTTTAGGAGGTTGAAAGCAATTTGGGGAGTTGCCTTTTCAAGTGTAAATCAATGGATCTGCCCACTGTCGATTGACTTATACTCATTTGTTGCGAATATAGTTCTTGCTCCGAGTTCATCTCTCTGATTGTCTGTACCGTGCTTGTCATTGAATCACTGCAGTGCCTGCAAAATCTCGGTCTATGGGCAATTTGCACGATGGTGTTATCGACCCCATCAGACAAGGAAATTGCGATATTAACGTTTCCCTATTCATTGTTTGGAAGGGGTTCGTTCTTTAGGTTGCCTTGTACTCGAGAAGGCTTGGCTTGACTACAGTGACTAGTGTAACTGATTCAAGTCTACTGAGCAGTCTTAACAAGTCCATTGATCAAGTTTCTTGATTTTTTTTCTTTTAATTTTCCTTGGAATGAGAGGTAAATTTTGCTCATTGCTGTTATCAACACAGAATTTAACAACGGATATTTGATCGATGAATATTGTAAAAGTAATGTTTTTGCTGATCCCCATGTTCATAATGACCCTCGTTGATTGGAACCTCGTTGATTGGAACTTGAAAATCACAGCTGCATTTCCCGGTATGAAGGCATGCTGCACGTACATGGTACATGAATTGCTAAGTAAAATCAAAATACGTGTTTTGAATTAATTTCTATGATGTTAAACTAAAATGAAACATGTGAAAATAAAGATAAAGGAAAAGAAAGGAGTGAAAAAATATGAATATGAGACTTCCCTCTATATGTTTGTCTGAAAATATCGAGGGATTGAATGGAATACTACTTTAACAAATTTAATATATTCACTTGCATTTATTCAAACTATGTTTATAATAGTACCATATAATAGTATTAAGTCACATAAAAATATTTTAAACTTTATTACAATTTAATATTAATAAATAAAATCATTACCATGAATCTAGAATAAAATTAGATAGTAAAGTGATTTTTCAATTTAACATCCATGGATAATTAATTATAACATCTATTTATAGAAAAATTATTATCATTCCTAATAAAAAGTTACTTAAAAGTTACTCAATTAATGTTTTTAGATTCATCATTCAATTATAATATATTGTTCGATATATATGTGTCGTCAATCTCATTATGTAAATTTGAATGACATGATAATTACTATTTATTACTCGTAAATTAAAAGTGAAATGATACTTAATGTTGTTAATTAAATTTTAGAGTTAAACCTTGTAATTGCTACACACAATTTAAAATATAACTTATTCACTTTATTTATATTTTGTACTTTATCAAATGTAAATCAAAATCTAACTCTAATTTTGATTAAAAATAGAAATAGAATCATTATTTGTTCTACTAAAACGACTAGACAATAATCCACGCAATGCCCGGGAAGATATGAATGTATGAAATCTCGATTTTGGATTTCTGTATTAATAATTTAAAATTATTGATTTGAAAGAAATGAAACCTTAGGAATAAAAGAAAGGTAGAACACATTGCTTTCAAAAATATTAGAAAGAAAGAGTAAGTCGCTTTCAGTATGTAATGTACAATATAATTTATTTTACCATCACTTGTCTATCTTTCATTTTTTCTTAGCAAGCAATTCACTCAAAAAACCGCATCACCCATTTTCCTATTCAAACACATAGTATAAGCATTCCATTTTGAAATGCTCATTTCATTCCCGAGTCCTAACCAAACAAAAGGGTAAAGAAATGGGCATTCCGTGAACCAAACATGCAAGCTGTTTACATATCTGTCCATGCGTGTGATATTTTGTAATATATAATTGTGGATCATTTAGGAAGAAATAAAGATGCAATTCCTTGAAATAAGATCCTTGTTTTTTTATACACTTGAACTTAGTAGAAGTTGTTCGACCAACAATCCAGTCCGAGCCTATTTTATTTTTCTTTGAGAAGTGAAATTTTCCATATAAAATTGACTACTTAGGACGCGTTTGGCAAGTTGCCAAATAGTAACTATTTCTGTTCTTTTGTTCCTAGAATCAGTTTTGGAATAGAAATCTGTTTGATAAATGTTTTTGTTCTCAGGCACAAATTTGTAAAAATTTGTTCCCGAAATCAGTTTTGGAACAGAATCAAGAAGAAAAAAAAAGTAGCTTCCTGATTCTAGGAACAAAAATAAAAAATGAAAGAGAAATTTTTTTTTCTTCTTCTTCTTCTTTGGGAAAAGTGTCAAAAAAGTCCTAAACCTTTTGCATTTGTGCCAATATAGTCCTAAACCTTTTTTTTGTGCTAATTCAGTCCTAAACCTTTTGTATTGGTACCAATTCAGTCATAAATCTTTTCCATTGGTACCAATTCAGTTCTAAACTTTTTTTTTGTGCCAATTCAGTCTTAAACCTTTTGCATTTGTGCTAATTCAGTCCTAAACCTTTTACATTGGTGCTAATTCAGTCCTTCGACATGTGAGTAGCTATTAGCCGGAAAGACTGAATTGGCACCAATGCAAAAGATTTAGGACTGAATTGGCACTAATGCAAAAGGTTTAGGACTGAATTGGCACTAATGCAAAAGATTTAGGACTGAATTGGCACAAATACAAAAGATTTACGACTTTTTTGACACTTTTCTCCTTCTTCTTCTTCTTCTTCTTGACCTATAGCCGGTTGCCAGCCGCCGGCCAGGGCCGGTGAGGGCATCATGACCCTCGCCGAATCTAGCATGGGCGACCCTCGCCGGCGCCGGCGACCTGGCCATGGCCAAGGAAAGGGAAGGGGAAGAAAAAAAAAAGAAGAAAAGAAAGAAATATTAAAAAAATTCAAAATATTATTAAAATATTTTTAATAAAAAGAAATTTTATGCAGTTACCAAATGCATTTATGTTTTTTTTTCTATTCCAAAAATAAAAATTTTGGACAGTTATCAAATGCCTTCAAATGCTTAGAAATTGTTCCCGGGCATAGGATAAAAAAAATCATTTCTGAGCAGAATCAGCTCCCGGGAACAAAATGGTTGCCAAATGCACCCTTATATGTTTACTTTTTACGTGGAATTACACATCTCTCCTCATTTGCATACAACCCAAGACTCTTTAAAATGGGTTTTTGGAAAAGCGAAAAAGAAAATATCTTCTTAAAAATAAAAGAAACTTTTCATAGCTTGTTATTACCTATTTATCCTCATTTTTGTAAAATGTAAAAAAATTGATAAGCATATCTGAGAAGAGGGAACAAGAAGTTTCCTGAAAGTAGGAATCCCTAATAACAACAACAACAATAAATAGTTATTATTATTAATATACTAATTAAAGAAAAAGAATCACTAATTGGCCTTATTCCTTCCGCCGAAGGCCGATGATTCCTATTTTCAAGTCATCACTAATTTTATGCTAAATTAGGAGCATTTCTTATATTTGCTTGAACCTGGTGGACCTTTTTTTTAAAATTTTAATTATAGCTAATTACATTTTTATGAATAAATTAAAAACTATGAAGAGGCCATCAAATGATTAATTGACAATGCAAACTGCGAAATAAGACATAAAAAAAAACCCAAAAATGAGATTTTTTGTACTTGATAGTGGAGGAATCCTACAAATGCCATATTCTCAAGCCACAGAAACACAAACTTTTTATTAAACTATTTTCCAAAATAGACCCTCTCCTTAAATTATTTATCAAAATAGACTTCTCACTACCATGTTACTCTTGGTGTATTATCATCACCCTCTTTATCCTAGCCACCTTTACTACTCTATTCTTAAATTATTGTAACTACTTCAAAATTGTGCACATTCTTTATATTTTCCAGAAATCAATCCATGCAGAATTTGCACACATTCAACCACTTGGCTTTAAAATCAAAGTCCAAATTGGATAGAAAGTTTAAAAAACATATATATTTTATAACAGTATGGCTTATATTGAAAATAATTATGAAAGTAAAATTAAATAAATTGTTCATTTAATTCGAAACAAATTCAAAAATTGAAAACCTAATAACATGTTCTACTTATTAATGGAAAAAACTTACAATGAGGAGTAGAATTATGTTTTTAAGTGAAATTTCTCGTAAAAATAAATTTCACCTATTTTCTCTGAGAATTGAGTTTACTTATTGAAACATTAAACTAAACGAAACTATAACCTAATAATTACGAGTATAAGAAAATTTTAGTTGTTGATAGGATACAGTGATCTCTGGTGAATTTTACTTTTTCAAGAGAAACTTCACCTAGTGAAGTAATTCCACAGTACATATTATGAAAATACTTATTAATACAGCACATTGTTTTTTTAAATTTTTTGAACTGTACAGGTGATTGAATTTAAATAAATTTTCGTTGATGTGACTTCATGATTACATTCAGTACGATTTGTATTATTCTAAAAGGTTTTTCAAAATATTTTCTATCCCTAGTTTCAATTTGGACTTAATGACATTAAAAATTTGTGGAATGACAAATCATTAGAGCATTTTGAAAAGAACTGTAGGAGTGATTTGCCACTGACAAGTCCACTTTGATAAGTAGTCTTGGGAGAGATCCAATAAATTACTTTTAAAAGAACTCCATTATGAGAGAAGTCTAACGCAGGTTAGATGTCAAGCATTTCTTTTTTGCCTGGGTTTGTCATCAAGCGAAAACAACGTACATAAAACTTTTGGGCCGGCCCGGGCCGGGTGGGCTTCTCGCAAGCTCAATTGGGTCGGGTCAGGTTTCGTAACTCGATGCCCTCTCCCAAATCACTTGAGTTTCTCTTGTGCCCACTAGGCTCAAGCAAGTTTATGAGTCGACAGTAGGGGTGTGCAACCGAACTGGGTTTACCCGGAAACCGGACCGGCCCACCCGAAAAACAGGTTCGGGAACCGGTTCTAACAAGAACCGGTCCGGGTACCGGTTCCATTTTTTGGGAACCGGTTAGAACCGGTCCGGTTTCCGGTTCCAAGTAAAAACCAACCCGAACCGGTTTTAGAACCGGTTTCGAGATAATGTAAAAAAAAAGTAAAAATCCTAGATCACGTTACCCTACTTCACTGGTTTTAGAACCGATTTTCGGTTTAATATTGGGATCTGTTTCACAACTATGAGCGACACAGCACGGCCCTTAAAGTCTTCTAAATATTGTGTGATTCACATGAGATATAGACATTTCTCTAGTGAGAGCAGATGCTTTACTGGTAAGTCTCTTGATTTTTCTTTCAGGATATTTCATTTGGAAATAGAAGTGAGGAGTTCTCCCATCATGGCACAAAATAAAGAGCTAAACATGTTGAACAATTCCCTGGAAATGTGACTCTTAAATATTTATGCGATTATACTATGTCTTACCACATAGTGCTTTTGGATTGTTGATTTTAATGTATTGTAATTTCACTTGCTCATTTTGGGGATTGTTACTTTTGGCGGATAGTGATTTTTGTTATTCATCTTTTACTTTAAATCGTTTTATTGATACCTATATTATTTTGCTGGAAAAAAATGAAACCGGAAAAAGGAACAAAAAGAAAAAACAGGTTCTCGGGTAAACCCTGAAACCGGACCGGAAAAACAAGGTTGGCTCCAAAACAGGGTCCAGGGAAAACATGGTTGGTTTCAGGTTCCAAAAATTGGGAACCGGTTATAACAGGGTTGGTTTCAGGTTCTAGGTCTGGACCCAACCCACCCTGGAACCGATCACCCCTAGTCGACAGGTTTATGATCCGGTTTAGAACCAATTGAACCAATACCGTTAGTCCGTTAATTCAGTTTATCACTTTTTATGCATTTTCAGGTTCCACTCGAATTGCTTCTTCCATAAAGAGTATAGAACACAATCACATGTAGGGAATATCTTTTGGCACGTCTAATGTAATTAACGAGTTGTACCAATGCACCAACATCCAAATGTAGTATATGCATGGCATGATTAAAATGGATAATGACTGAATACTGAATCTACATAACTAAATATGCCGTTTAGATAGATTTTTCTTTAGCCGAGATATTTCATAGATGTGATTGACTTCCCTTGTACGGCAAACAAATACTCGCTTTTTATGTTTTGTGATAGTGTCTGTGCGTCGTCAAATATGTTATGAATGGATATATCTAATCATATGCACGTAACAATAGAATTCTTATACGTGGACGTGTTTGTTTCGTTAAAAAAATTTACGATAAAGGAAAACTTTTTCTAACTTTTTTCAAGTTAGGAAATTCATTTTCCTAACTTTAAGCATGCGTGATGGATCATTTTCAGCAAATCAAGCGAGTGAAACAGAAAATCAATTTACGAAAACTTCTAGGGTTTGTTTATCCCAGGAAAAATTTATGATAACGAAAAATACGGAAATCATTTTCAAAGAAAATGCACAAAATCTTGATTCCAATGTTTTTGCGGAGCCATGCGACATGAGATGGGATGATTAGATGAGTCCCCCATGGAATGCACATATGCTCTCTCGAATTTGCAGCGGCCCTTCGTAGTACAAATATTTCCAAAACCAAACATTTTCCATCAGTCAAATCCTCTAATCACAATTATTTTATTTATTTCCCGATATAAATAATACATACATATATATATATATATATATATATATATATATATATATATATATATAATCTGCGGCAAATTATTAATTTCTTGGAAATATCAACGAAGAGTTCGCAGCTTGTTTCCTTCTTCAATTCCCTTCGTTGACTGCCGAAGACAAACTTCGACTCTCTCTCTCTCTCCGGCGACCGTCTTCCCATGGCTCCGTCCGGGTCTCCGCTCGCCGCTCTCTTCCTCCTCCTCGCCTGGTTGTCTCTGGCCGAGCTCATCGTCTCCACGCGCAATCTCTCCCCTCCGAGCAATCGCCACCGCCCGTTGATTCTGCCTCTCTCCCTAACACCCCGTGATTCTGCTTCTTCTTCTCCTTCTTCTTCTTCGCACGAGAGGGATCGTCACCGCCGGCGATTGCTCGACTCGGAGCTCCCTCGCTCGCCCAGCGCTCGCATGCGGCTCTACGACGATCTCCTCTCTAATGGGTCATCTTCAAGTCTCTTCATTTCTCGAGTTTTCGCTAAATCTTTCTTGGTTATTTGGTTTTTCGGCTGGAATGTTTGATGGGTTTCTTGCTTTTTTTGGGGGGGCGATTTTGCAGATACTACACGACGCGTCTTTCCATTGGGACGCCTCCTCAGGAGTTTGCGCTGATTGTGGACACGGGAAGTACCGTGACCTATGTTCCTTGTTCCAATTGTCAACAGTGTGGTAAACATCAGGTCTGGTTTCTCAGCTGTTTTTAAAGCTTTTTTCCTTCTTCTTTTTTTGGCTTCTTTGGATTATATTCAGCAATTATGGCTGAATTCATGAACTGGGCAGTTGTTATTAGTTTCGGGTTGAAAGTTCTTTTAGCAGTTTTAAGCGGAGTACACGTGATTATGATGATTCCGTTTATAGCTTAGATTGCCTAGAGCTCTCAACAGCAGTTTTAGTGAGACTGCTGCTTAGGAGGTCTAACTTCTTCTCTCAAAGGCCTAATTGGTTGCTGAAGTACTTGCGGACGAAGGTCTCTGCTCTGGTGTTTGATTTTTTGTGCTGCCGATGTATTGTCAATGTGGCTTGGAGAGTTACAAACGGAGTGTTGAAGATCTGTCGTGTTTGTTACAGCTGCAACAATAGATAGTAACGTTTCCTTCTCTCCTTTACCGAAATAAAAGCGTGTACTTTTCCCTTACTTTCTTTCTCGATTTCGTTTTTTGTTCTGTTGTGCTGTTCAATGTTCAGTTATGGACAGTTTTCATATTTTTCTGGATTTAGAACGATCAGATAAGTTATAAGATGTTCTTGACTGGTGTGGAGGACCAGGATATCTTCTTCATTCTTCTTTTGGTTTGTTTGAAGTGTCTCTTGCAATAATCCAGGATCCAAGATTTCAACCTCAATTATCTTCCACCTATCAGCCCGTCAAATGCAATGCCCATTGCTTATGCGACGCTGCAGAAAAGCAGTGCACTTATCAGAGACGGTACGCTGAGATGAGCTCCAGTACTGGCATCCTGGGAAATGATCTTGTATCGTTTGGGAATGAAAGTGAGCTCACACCCCAGAGGGCTGTTTTTGGGTGTGAAACTGTGGAAACTGGTGATCTGTACAGCCAACGAGCAGATGGCATAATGGGCTTGGGTCGTGGTCACCTCAGCATTGTGAATCAGCTCGTTGAGAAGCATGTCATTGATGACTCTTTCTCATTATGTTATGGTGGTATGAGCGTGGGTGGTGGTGCAATGATACTTGGAAGTATCGTTCCTCCCACTGGAATGGTATTCTCCCATTCGGATCCTCACCGCAGGTAAACAGCCCTTTGACGTATTGAATTAGATTTCTGACATCCTTGAGGATGCAAATGCAATTAGTGCATCTCACACATTTATGATAGTATTGGGATGTTCACAGTCCATATTACAATATCGAGCTGAAGGAAATACATGTCGCTGGGAATCCATTGAAGTTGAAGCCAAGTACTTTTGATGGAAGACATGGAACGGTCTTGGATAGTGGAACCACATATGCATACCTACCAGCAAAGGCATTTCTGGCATTCAGGGATGCTGTAAGGTTTCGTAGCCTGAGTTAAATAATTCAAATATTACAGTAGCAGTTTTCCTTGGATGTCTCTGTTCATTTTAAAAACATTTTGTTTGATTACTGAATTTTGAAAGCTTATCCAAACTTTCTTTCTATTAAGTAGCATTTGTATTTTCATAAAGCAGAATGTTTGAGCCTGGTGCATAGTTGGTGCTTAAGATACATTAAGTCCACTAACATGAGCAGCTTGCTTGAGGACCTCCTGGAACTTAAATACTTATTTGCTTGCATTAATATCCATGAACCCATTTGCCGATTATACTGGACTTATAATGCCATCAAAATATGATAACTCTTTGGTGTTCTGGAATTTAGCTTAACTGGTAATTCCAATTCTTTGATTATGATTTGGCTCAAATGATGACTCATAAGGACTCGTGTATTCATTTTGACTCTCATAAGGCTTTGGGAAAATGCTTCTCTGATCTTGAAAGTCGGAGTTACTATGGTGAATTGTCAGTTGACTCAATTTTTTCCCCTGTCTAAGGCTAGGACATTGTAGACTTTAAGCTGGTTGACAATGACTAGAGAAAATTTTTGTGCTTCAGATTTAGAAACATCATCTAAAGTGAGCCAATTGATTTTTCCATGGATGAGAATAGGCAACATCAAATAGCACTCTCTTGCTAAAATAACTTTAAAATGAGTTCAACTGCGTTTGAATGTTAATGGATCATTAGAAACCGAAATCTTCTTCAGAAGCCTTGTTCGTGAAGTACATTGCACGCTCTAATGTAAAAGCTATGCTATATATGATGCAATTCTTTATTTCCAAATGCAGATTATAGAGAATGTTCAATCCCTGAGAAAGATTCAAGGACCCGACCCAAAATTTCATGATGTTTGTTTTGCTGGAGCTGGATGGTAATGGCAGATAAACTTAATATGCATACTGGCCATTTTTTTTAACTGTGCTTTACTGGATTTTGTTCTTGACCTATGCTTAGGGACATCTCCAAGTTATCTGAAGTATTTCCAAAGGTTGATATGGTTTTTGGCGATAAGCAAAAGCTGTCGCTGTCTCCTGAGAACTACTTGTTCAAGGTTATCACCTTCAAGAATGCTTTATTTATGCTTTTGCGCCCCCCCTCCCCCTATTTGAATACTGAAGCTCGAGTTGTTTATGAGATAATTTTGACTTCTATTGTAAACTTCCTTGACTTTATTTAGTCTGATATATCTTCTTGATTTTCAATTGTTGCCCCAAAATGGTTTGTAGCATACAAAGGTTCCTGGGGCATACTGCTTAGGAATATTCCAGAACGAAAATGATGAAACCACTCTCCTAGGAGGTACTTTTTATTATTTCGAAACTCTCTCTCTCTCTCTCTCTCTCTCTCTCTCTCTCTCTCTCCCCGCATTTATTTATTTCGGACTGCTTTTGGAAACGTAGTTTGGTTGTTGCTGTTGTCCCTTTTCCTTTCTTTTCTTTTTGTTTTGAATGCTTAGCAATTTGCGAACCCTGATCCAGCCTACTCTATGTTGTTGGCAGGTATAATTGTCCGCAACACCCTTGTTACTTATGATAGGGAGAAAAATAAGCTTGGCTTTTGGAAAACTAATTGTTCTGAACTGTGGAAGCGGCTGCAAGATACTGGTAGTCCTCCACCTGCACCTTTATTCCCTCAGAACCACAATAGTACTTCAGCTATTTCTCCTAGCATAGCTCCGAGTGGATTGCCTCCAACTTCTTTTCCGGGTAAGAAGAGTAACTTCTACAAGCAATTAAATGCCCTTAGCTGTTTTTGTACATTAAAAGTATTCTACTGGAATCAGATGTAGTTAGCAGGTATGCATCTTGATGGGTGCTGCACTCTCTGTCAATTCTGGCATCTCCTCACCTAGTTGTTAAAATCCTTTTTAAAAGAAAGATAAAGAAGTTAAATGCATTAGCTACTGTGTGGTTACTGTTAAATTTTGGTCTCCTTCCTTTTCTAGTTCTTGAGATATGTCGACTGTAGAAGACTCGACAGTGCTAGGTCTTCCTTTTGACTGAAATACATATCCACAGATTTTCTTACTGCCTTTATCTTTTCGAAAGCATTCCAAGAATAAGATAGCTTGATTTTCCAGAGTGCTTTTTCTTACAAGATGTCATCTCTGTATCTTCATCATGTTGCTATTATGACGGAAAATCGTGAAGTTCCTGGGTGATTTGACTTGCTTGTCTATGGCTTACTTATCGTCTTGCAGCTTCAGAAATCTTCTTCTAAAGATTTCATTACCATTTTTTTGTGCTCAGTTGAATTTCGAGTAGGACTCATAACGTTCAACATGTCATTCAGCATCAAAAGCTCCAGCAGGAAGCCTAACTTCACTGAATTTGAAGAACTTATTGCTCATGAGTTGGGAGTGAGTACTTCACAGGTAAGAGTCAGATCTTGCAGGCACTTTTACGGATAATCTATGGTTGAATAGTATGCTTGACCTTATCTCCTGAGTTCATGAAACTCTCGTATTAATTTAACAAGCAACTTAATCTTCTATAACTAGCATTGCACTTTTAACATGTTCAATTTTTTTTCTTCAGTCAGGGTTTATACTATTGCCATATTTTTTCTCAAGTGTGAGATATTGACCACTGTCTGGATTTTACCTCCATATGAACTATGTGACTTCATCTAGTTTTGTGCTTAGCATAATCTTCCAAACTTACCTGCTTCTACCTAATACTCATACTCAGGTCCATTTGCTGTACTTCACTTCCAGTGGAAATCAATTCCTTGTTGAGTGGGCCATCTTTCCAGCTGACTCTGCTGATTACTTCTCTAACACCACCGCTATGGTATTTCTTTCTTTCATAAAATTTAATCTACAAGTAGGCTCTTGTGGTTGCAGGTTCGCTCCTGACTCGTCTGTTTGTATGCAGAGCATAATCACACGCATAAGAGATCATCACGTGCAGCTTCCTGAAAGATTCGGTAGTTATCAGCTAGTTGAATGGAAAATTGAGCCTCAAAAGAAGCGGTGTGGTTTCATGTTCCTCTTCAATATCTACATGTTCAGTTGTGATTAACTTTGTTGGTGTTCCCTTTAGCTTGAATAAATCATCTTCATGAATTTGAGAAGCCGTATGAATACGGGGCACAATCGGCTATTGATGGTTGGAGTAGAAATAGGTGATTGCAGAAAGAAAAAAATATCGCGACTACACTTACAAACATCGTAATTGAGTCGCTGAGTTGTCACAGCATTGGAAATCTTGGACATTCAGCACTTTTAAGATATGTTTGTCAATGTCTAGGAACTTTGTGCCAATATGACCTGCCATTTTGTGCTGCTTATTATTTCTCTAACAGTATCTTCTTCTTAATTGGTGCAGCACATGGTGGCAGCATAATTATTTGGCAGTGGCTGCAGTAGCTTCCGCAGCACTGTTGCTTACCCTAACGAGCATCGGACTATGGTTCGTTTGGAAGAATATCCGGCAGCAATCTGGTGCATATAAGCCTGTAGGTGTTGCCATTCCTGAGCAAGAACTCCAGCCGCTTTGACCCAGGCACGTTCATCTGCTCATTATGATTTTTTAGCGGGCGTAAGTTGTGGAAATATATCGATAGAGGAAGGATTTCTAACTGCATCGATCCCATCTTCGGTTGGAGGAAGGTCACGTTCGACGTAGTTTGTCTACGAAGCAGTTCGTACCAGGTGTATATAGTAGAAGCCTACAAAGCAGTCCGTCATACGGTTCTACAGTAGAAAACATACCGGGTAGATGAAAAGATCAGAAGATTGCAGAGCGTAACATAGGCAACTGTGCCGCTTTTGTGGAGAGAGAAAACGGTCAAACAAAAAACCGTCCCTGCGGCTAACCAAGTGAACAGTGAATTACATGGATTGTGCTTGATCACATGGTTGAATCAGGAAAGCACCAACTTCTATTGATTTCGCAATAGATCAGTGCAGTAAAATACTCATGCGGCTACTTGTAACACTTAATCTGTTGGTGAATCTTCAGCTTTTACATCACTTGCGTGCTCGTGACCCTTTACCTTATATCTATTTGCTCGATATAGTATATAATGTCATGCGACAATCTTTAGCAAAATCATTTGAATAATAGAAAAAATTAGAGAGAGGTTGCTATGAGATGATTACGTTCTCCCGGATTCAAGAATGAACATGGTCAAAATTTTGAAAGACAAAAAGCTTGCTCTTGGAACCACGAAATCAAGGTTACGCACTCGAACTGCTTTAAACTACAGGCGGTATAATGCCCCATTTTCATGGCATATCCACATCCAAAGCCATCTCAAGTGACCAATACAAGCTGATAAACAGCTGTCTAGTCTCAAACATACATGTCTCGATAGCACTTCATGAGCACTATAACGTAAGATAGGTGTAATTATTTTGATAATCACAGTGAACGAATACTTAAGGCAGTAATGATATTCAAGGGCATTTAGGCTTGCCCTTGGAGTTCTTGAGGTCGCGGTAACAAGGGCACTCGTGCTTGTTGCCGTACGTGCCGGAGGGGACGCACTTGCACTTGTCGCAGCAAATCTGGCAGTACTTGATGCACCGATCCTTCAGCCCCGCCTTTGAGCACCTCGCCGAGCACTTGGACCCGCAGAAACCTCGCGAAATTCAATCAAACCTTAAATTAGTCTAACTGAAAGTATTGTCGGGCGTTTGAATATTGCTAAGACAGTCACTCTTGGTTTGACACATCGGTTTTTCGTAGGTCAGTATCGCTCTAACAATGACGAGTCATGTGCTTACTTGATCCGGCCATGGTCGAGTCGAGCAGAGAGGAGCTGACGACGAGACACGCGAGAAGGAAAACTGTTGCTTGAACCATCTTCATAGTGTAGTGAATGAAGCAGAGATCTTTTGATTTTGAGTGTGTGATGTGTTTGAGTGAACAATGTGTGCGAGGAAGTTATGGGAATGGGAGGGGTTATTTATACATGAGAAGAGAGAAAGGCAAAGCCATGAACTGTGCAGGTGAAAGTGAATTGTTATTTATTCAGCAAATTCGTACTAGAGAGAGAGAGAGAGGGATAGAGTTTGGGGATGGTGCTAGAAGCTCCCATAATGAATGTTGGTGTTGGAGTACAGGGTGTCATGTGATGTAGGGTTCATCGCCCTCGAGGGCCCGTCTTTCGGGTCGACAGTTGTCAGATCGTACAGACACAAATATCTACCGATCATAGAGGAATTCTCAACTATTTTGTATGTGGAATAATACAATGTTACAATTGAATGTACGTCGTTAAGACTGCTTTGTGATCCAAGAGGATTTTCGAAGGTCATCGTTTTGTACTATAGGGTGAATGAAGGCATTGACTGGCACGACCACCTAATGCTCGGCCCACTTTAGCTAATGCCGAAATCTTCATTCTCCTATCAAATTATTTCTGAAAAATATCACGACATGTATCAACAGATCTTTCAAGTTATGTAGCGTAGCTTTTCAATTGATCACAAGATTATAAATTACATTAAAACGATGTCCTTAAAATACTTATTCAGCAGGCTCATAAGTTATATATCTATGTTCTTTGGTTGATTAGGCATATAACCTGGTGCTGATTAACACTGTTGAGAGTCAAAGAGGGAGTCTTCGCGTTGGACTCTTTAGTCCGACAGAAGGAAGGGAGGCATGGGATATGTCACCGACCCCCACGCGGTTTCCCAAAAGCCGGTGGGACCTGTTCCAGTGCAACATCATCATTATCCTTAGGTAAGCCACCTAGTACACGTCCCCCCACTTCTGGGGCCAATCAGCTATTATAGGCCCTTCACTTCACTTCGCCAAAGCAAGCAGGAACAAAGAAAATTGCTGGTACCAAACTGGCAAGGAGGGACGAACGATTTTATGTTCCGTACGGATTTACTCGGAATCTAAAATTTATCTATAGGAACAGGTTCCTCATTTTTCTAGAACTTAAAACCTACTCTACATACTTTGGATGGAATCTACTCAGGTTCCATCTGTATTATTAATTGAACAATTAAAGGTAATCACCACTTACTGCTAAGATCCACTGACTACAACGTATATTTAGATATAAAAAATATGAAACATTAATAAGTTATAAAATAAAAGTTTAGACTAATGGTTCCAGATTATGCACTCATCATCAATGCTGTGAAACACCACAGGATCACGCGAAGACATAGATCAAGAAAAAACACAAAAAAATTGTTTAAGATTTAAGGTTCTAGGTTCCAGGTTCTACCTATCTAGAACCTGCAAACTACCCGTCGAAATAAGTTTTCCAATTTTTGGAATCTGGAGTCTACCCTGCATACCTTAGAATCTGGAACTTACAGGTTCCCACCTGTTGCGACCTCTCACTCCCGTGGGGTGTGCTTTCGGCTAATGGATTATTAAGTCTAAGCCAAACTCGGGCCCTCCCAAGCGACTTAAGGTTCAAGTTTGTTTACCGTGCAAAGGATTTTCATTTCGGAGTTGCCACTAATCTATTTACGGTGGGTCGATTAAAATCCAAATAAAGTATAGGGGGATATACTTTATTTCTACGAACAAAAGATAATGAGTATAGGGACTTGGTTACGCTATATTATTCTAACGCCCTTTCCATTTTATTACTTCATAACATGTGGGATGATCATGCGGGTGCCCAAACCATCAAATTAACACCCAATAATGAAAGCAATAAATAAATTACTAGATATGGAGAATGATGTACCTCGAAAGCAACGTAAGCATCTGCATTGTTAGCTAGAAAATCATATCGACAGCCTTAATATGATTTCTAATTAACAAGCAATTCATTCAATGTATTTTTTTTGGGCTTTCTCTTGATTAAATGAAAATTAACCTACATGCCATGACGTGCAAAGTATGACATGCAACTAATTAACCCTAGCATGCGAACTATCTGACATGCGATTAAATGACCTAACTCTAATGATGGGCAAATGAGGTATTTTTGGTGTTTTTCAATGAAATTCTGAATAGAGAAAAATGCCTAAATTAACATGCAATCTATTGTGGAAAAGATAATTTAACTTATTCTAAAGGGGCTTCTTTTTGGTATTTTTTTTATAAAAATCCGAAATTAGAAATCACCTTAAATTAACCATCAAGATTAAGATAATATCTAACTTAAACTAGGAAATAAATTACTTTAAATGCTAATTTACATTGGAAAATTATCCTAGCTTTATAGCAAATCTAGGTTATCCTATTCTATTCAAAGCAAGTTATATAGGTATATTCTAAACATGCATCCTTATCTTAAAAGAAAATCATTTCAAATCCTAACTAATTTTTCTGAATTTTATTTTTAAAGGAAACAAAATCAAACAAACGAATAACCACCACTGTCGAAATCAATCCACGCAATCTGTAAGATTTGTTTTATCATCTTTGAATTAGGGAAACGGTATAAACTAATGATCATATCCATGTGGTTATGAATATTGATGGAAGGCTATTCGTTTAAATTTGGGAACAAAATAAAATCTATTATCGTATCTAAATGGTTATGGATAGGACAAAGATTTTCCGTGCTCTCGAGTATCGTATCTCATGGTTGAGATCGGATAGTCATCCAAGCACGTTGTTAAGTTAGGAATTTCCTAACTTAGGGTATCTTTTGGAATCTTGCGGGTATGTCATGCATCATTTAAAAATATCAACTAATCCACCGAAGATATCTAAACCAATCAAATTAGGCTAAAAAATATTTGAAACAATATCAGATAATGTTTTTACCTAATTTGCGGATAACTTCCAAGTTTGAACCCAACTCAAATTGGGATTGTGGGTCACGGGACGGCCGATGGTGGTAGAGGTGGCGGCGACTACGACGGGCACGGCGCTAGGGACGGTGCGGCACATCAACAGAGCTAGGCAAGTGTGGTCACGGGAGTGACCGGAACGACGCGGCACAGCAGCAAGGGCGCGGCCGGGCACAAGCATGGCAAGGCCTCGGTCAGGTGCGGATGCAAGCGCGGCAGAGGCTAGGCCAGGCATGGGTGCGAGCACGGGTGCGGCACAGCAACAGGGGCGCGATCAAATGCGGACACGAGCGCGGCAAGGGCTCAGTTGGGTGCAGGTACGGCACAGCAGCGGGGACTCGGCCAGGCGCAGGCACAGGCACAGGTGTGAGCACGGGCGTAGGCACGGGCACGGGCACAAGCACGGGCACGAGCACAGGTGCGAGCGCAGGCATAGGAATAGGCACAGGCACGGGCATGGGCACGGGCATGGGCATGGGCGTGGGCATGGGTGCGACGATCGGCCATGGGGAGGCACAATCGACGAGTCTCCTTTGCTCTCTCTCTCTCTCTCTCTCTCTTTCTTGCTCTCATTCTCGCTTGTGCTCTCTGAAAATTATGATCCCTCTCTTCGATTAAGGGTATATAACAACATATTTATAACCTCAACCTAGGTTAATTGGCCGGGCTTTTATAATATAATGGGCTTTAACTTGGGCTTTCTTCAATTAAAGTTTAATAGGTTGATTTAAGCTCAAATTAAGACAACCATGGCCTTTTTACCCTTGAAATTTTCGGCCCCTGTCTCCCTAGCTTGGCTGAGTACTGCTCAACGTGTAAGCTAGATTTGCACGACTGACTTTAAGTTCATTCGTCACCGCCGGTCCAATGCAAAAATGTAGTTAAACTAAATGATTCTAAACTATATGCTATGCGATCTAATTTTTTAATATTTTTGTTTAGGGGTTAGAGATTAATCCCTAATTTTCTATGCACTGATTATTAAGTGGTTAACCAAAATTTAGGTGTCAATATCACCGGTCAGGTTCTCAGATTTCAGGTTCTACCCTGAAACCATGCTTACCCCTACTGACAAGTGGGATGTGCACTTTATTTGGGATGAGCATCGAGTCTACTTCGATTCGGAAATCGGAGCGTATTGATCTGGATCAGCCAGTTCAAGACCAGTTTTAGTGAGGATGGGTTCAGTCCCGATTCATTTCCAGATCTAAACTGTTTCAACCAGTCCGGTTCTTAGGTTGAATTGATTTTGAAGCTTTTTTGTAGGAAGAAGATACTTCTGCAACCATCAATAGTTGAACAATGGATCTTGACACGAACAAACAAAATAATCACAACCCACCCATGGGTAGATCAGTTGGTTAGGGCATACTTGGGATTGTGTGGTTAGGCGCACTGGTCCCAAGTTCGATTCTCCAGCTGAGCACTTGTGATTTAAGTGGGGGGCCATGACGGTGAATTGTTGTGCTAGTCTCCCCCGAGGAATAGTCGAGGTACGCGCAAGCTGGCCCGGACACCTCGGTTACCAAAAAAAAAAAAAAAACAAAATAATCACTTGATGAACGAATTTTTTTTAAGCGAAATGGTTCAATTTTTATATTCTATCATAATAATTTGCTATTTTATCCAAAACACAAAATGAGTCAATCCTCAAGTAAAACCGGCATTTCAGAGTCGATCCATCTAGTTCTTAGTTCCAATCTATTGGAATCGAGGGGGGAGGGGGGATTTATAGTATACTTTAGCTTATTTCATGTTATTGACCTGATTCTTATAGTGGAAGATTTTCACCTTAGGATCATTCACTTGGTCACTTGCATTCATGTCAATGTACTATGCTGTCGCAATTGTTCTTAAATCCAGCAAATCTCTTAAGAGTATGTGTGCAAGTTGATGTGAATGGAGTTTCACAACGATAGTACAAAGATGGACTTTCTTACCGAGAACTCTAATCCCACGTCGTGAATATACATAGAATTTGACAGTGACACTGTACATATTGTGTCCTAAAACTTCTTTCACGCTTTCAGGTACAAAGAACGACGTATGGATGGGTATAACTACGCAGGCAAGGCTCAAGCAGAAAATGTATTGTCCAGGCTCTCAGCAATTCACACTTTGGAAATGGGTGGGTGGGACGCCCTTTAACATCGAAAAACCTAAAATACAACCTAAGAATGTTTTTACAGGTTCACAACTCTCTCTAAGCATTATCTAATAGTCCTATACCTGTTACAAAATGTTCGGATTGAGTAATAACTACTTTACACTATCCACTCACAACTTGAAAATATGAGTTTGGCGAGCTTGCATTGCAAACTCCATAAAAATGCTAGCAGCTCAGAAGTCTTTCCACACAAGTCGTAGTACTAGCCATTTAGAGATTTATGTTCACAATGTAAATCAAACTTATGATCTCTTAGAAGACAAGTGGCCCGTTTACCATTAGGTCAATCACAATGGTAGTAGCAACCAATCGTTTAGGATTTATGTTATATACAAACAGAAGTGGGTCCTACTCTTGATGGGTGGGCTGGGCTGCTATTGGGCTTTATCTTCTTTTATTGTTGCCATCTATTGATGAGGATTTGAGCTTAGTCACATTCGAGCAAAGCCTATTCATTAAGAAAGAGCTTTGACTTTGACATGGAATTTGGGCTACAAGCAAGGCCATTCTAGGAACATGTCAGATGCTAATCATCATCATTCATGCATGATACGATGTATTTTCATACGATTTGACATCTGAATTAGACCAAGTCGCACTAATATGGTTTGCACGAAAAAGAGGAGTAAAATCGACCAACCTAAATTAACCTTCAAACGAAACGAAACCATACCCTATTAATTGGTGTGATACCGCAACGAATCGTGTGGTATCACGCCGTCATAGAATTTAATCTACAAGTAGGCTCTTGTAATTGCGGGTTCACTCCTGACTCGTGCGTTTGTATGCAGAACAATAATCACACGCTTAAGAGATCATCACGTGCAGCTTCTTGAAAGATTCGGTAGTTTATCAGCTCGTTGAATGGAAAATTGAGCCTCAAAAGAAGTGGTGTGGTTTTAGTTTCCTCTTCAATGTCTACATGTTCAGTTGTGATAAACTTTGTTTGTGTTCCCTTTTGCTTGAATAAATCATCTTCATGAATTTGAGAAGCCGTATGAACACGGGGCACAATCAGCTATTGCCGGTTGGAGTAGAAATAGCTGATTGCAGAAAGATATCGCGACCACACTTACAAACATCGTAATGGAGTTGCTGAGTTGTCGCAGCATTGGAATTCTTGGACATTCAGCACTCTTTCAAGATATGTTTTGAGTTCAGAGAGGGACGGCCAATGTCAATGTCTGGGAACTTTGTGCTCATATGACCTGCCAATTTTTGCTGCTTATCATTTCTCTTACAGTATCTTCTTCTTGATCGGTGCAGCACATGGTTATGGCGTAATAATTTGGCAGTGGCGGCAGTAGCTTCTGCAGCACTGTTGCTTACCCTAACGAGCATCGCACTATGGTTCGTTTGGAAGAATAACTGGCAACAATCTGGTGCATACAAGCCTGTAGGTGTTGCCATTCCTGAGCAAGAACTTCAGCCGCTTTGATCCAGGCACGTTCATCTGCTCATTATGATTTTTTGGTGGACGTAAGTTATCAAAATACATCGATAGAGGAAGGATTTCTAACTGGACCGATCCCCTCTTCAGTTGGAGGAGGGTCACGTTCGACGTAGTTTGTCTACGAAGTAGTTCCTACCACGGGTATATAGCAGAAGCCTACAAAGCAGTCCCTCACACGGTTATACGGTAAAAAACATACCAGGCAGATGAAAAGATCAGAAGATTGCTTAGCGTAACTGTTCGCTCATTTTACGACGAGGAATATCCTTCACCGAAATTTCGATTTTCGGTTTTTATTAAGATAGGTTCTGTGGCTTGACTTCTAGGAGAATTGTGGCGAAAAACAGAGTGTAACACAGGATTATATGGAATGGATAGAAATTGAATGGACTGGAAATGGATCTGAGATCAACAAAGTTCCAAGCTACGTTACAATACTCCTATGAAAGCTGTAAAGGACTTGAAAGTTAACTAAAGCTACAGGAAGCTGTAAATACAGGAAGTAAAGGTGCATAGGAAACTAAAGTGCAGATAAGCTTAAGTGTTTTTGCATTGTTGTTGGTCGTGCCTTCCTCTTTGCTTTCTCTGAGTATTTGTATCTCCTCCTATCCTGTAACTGCTTGTCGGTTACTTCCATGTTTTCAAACTTTGAATTTTGGCGCTTCCAATAACTGCCTTTTCTAACCACGTTTTTCCAGTTTTATTGTCCGCCAAAACTTGATCTCAACCGCTGAAATGACTTCAAATCTGGACAAGTAACTTCCCACGATATGCTCGTGCTCACTATCCCCGCTTTTGCTCACAACTTCTTACTATCGTGATTTACGTGGCTGGGCTGTGATTCTTTAGTATATTCCCGAAGTGTAAACCTCCCGAGTTTCGGGAAAGGGTCGCCGTCCTGAGGCATAAATATTCCAACTTCCTGAACTATAACTTTCCATCTTTCGGTAAATATACATATTTTTATCAATTACCGAATTCGGGACATGATGCCATTCACGCTTGCTCCTCAGCATGTTTCCGAATTTGGTCCAGACGTGTTTCGGAAGATGGCTGATTTCCATTATACACCAAATTCGGCACTAAAGCCGACTCAGCATTTATGCCGATTCTTATTTTGGTGTCAACAGTAACATAGGCAGCTGCGCCACTTTTGAAGAGACGGAAAACCGCCGAACAAAAAACCATCCCTGCAGCTAACTAAGTGAACGTTGAATTACATGCATTGGGCTTGATCACATGGTTGGATCAGGAAAGCACCGACTTCTATTGATTTCGCAATAGATCAGAGTAAAAATACTCATGTGGCTACTTGTAACACTCAATCTGTTGTTGAATCTTTAGCTTTTACATCACTTACGTGCTCGTAACCCTTTATCTTATGTCTATTTGCTCGATATATTATAATATCATGAGACGACATTTAGCAAAATCATTTGAATAAAAGAAAAAACGAGAGAGAGGTTACTCCGAGATGATTACGTTCTCCCAGATTCAAGAACGTACATGGTCAAAACTTCGAAAGACAAAAGCTCGCTCTTGGAATCACGAAATCAAGATTACGCACTCGAACTGCTTTAAACTACAGGCGGTATCATGTTCCATTTTCGTGGCATATCCACATCCAAAATGAACTCAAGTGACCAAGATAAGCTGATAACCAGCTGTCTAGTCTCAAACATATATGTCTCGATAGCACTTCATAAGCCCTATAACGTAAGATAGGCGTAATTATTTTGATAATCATAGTTAACGAATATTTAAGGCGTTAATGATGTTCAAGGGCATTTCGGCTTGCCCTTGGAGTTCTTGAGGTCACGGTAACAAGGGCACTCGTGCTTGTTGCCGTACGTGCCGGAGGGGACGCACTTGCACTTGTCACAGCAAATCTGACAGTACTTGATGCACCGATCCTTCATCCCCGCCTTCGAGCACCTCGCCGAGCACTTGGACCCGCAGAAACCTCGCAAAATTCAATCAAACCTTAAATTAGTCCAAGTAAAGTTTGGTTGGGCGTTTGAAATATTGCCAAGACACCACTCTCGGTTTGACACATCGTTTTTTCGTAGGTTAGTATGCTCTGACAATGAAGAGTCATGTGCTTACTTGATTCGGCCATTGTCGAGTCGAGCAGAGAGGAGCTGACGACGACGAGAAACGCGAGAAGGAAAACTGTTGCTTGAACCATCTTCATAGGGTAAGTGAATGAAGCTGAGATCTTTTGATTTTGAGTGTGTGAATGTGTGTGTTTGAGTGAACAATGTGCGAGGCAGTGATGGGGAATGGTAGGGGTTATTTATACATGAGACGAGAGGAAGGCAAAGCGATGAAGTGTGCAAATGAAAGTGAATTGTTGTTCATGCAACAAATTCGTACCAGAGAGAGAGGGAAAGAGAGTTTGGGGTGGTGCTAGAAGCTCCCATAATGGATGTTGGTGTTGGAGTACAGGGTGTCATGTGATGTAGGGTTCATTAAGGGCGCTTGTGCCGTGCTCTCGAGGGCCTGTCTTTCAGGTCGACACTTGTCGGATCGTAAAAATACAAATATCAACAGATGGCAAAGGTCTTCCCAACTATTTTGTAAGTGGAATAATAATACGATGTTCTAGATCGAAATTACAGTAGAATGTACGTTGTCGAGACTGTTTTGCACTCTAGGAGGACTTCCGATGACTTTGTACTGTAGGGTGAATGAAGGCATTGATGGGCTGGAGAGGGTTTTCATGACGATTTGCAAACAGCGTATAGATTTGTTTCCAAACCGTGGCATCGCGACGGCTTAATGCTCGGCCCACTTTAACCAATGTAAAAAATCTTCTTTCCCCATCAAATTATTTCCGAAAAATATCACGACATGTATCGGCAGATCTTCGACCTATGTCGCGCAGCTTCTTAACTAATCACGAGATTATGAATCACAACCAACGATGTCCTTAAAATACTTTATTCAGCAGGCTCATAAGTTATGTCTGTAAATTCTTTGGCTGTTTAGGCATAACCTGGCGCTGATTAGCACTGTTGAGAGTAAAAAAGGAGTCTTCTTCGCACTGGACCCTTTAGTCCGACAGAAGGAAGGAACCGCGGGGCAAATGTCGCCACTCGAAACGAATCGGTCCCCACGCGGTTTCAAGAAGCCGGTAGGACCTTACTACAGCGCAGCGACATCTTTAGACCTAGGCAAAGCCACCTGTTGTACTAAGTAGCAAGTAGTAAGTACCCCCCCACTTTTGAGGCCCATCAGCAATTGAGTCCTTCGCTTCACTTCGCCGGAGGGAAACCGGAAGAAGGAAAGGTTTGTTTGGTACCAAACTCAGAGTGGGCCATCTCCGGCCTCTGCGAGGTGGTGCTTTCCACTCGAGAGTGGGATGGATGGCACCTAATTAGGGGTGAGCATCGGGTTCGATCCGAGAGCTGGAGCGGACCGGCCTGGACCGACGGTTCAAGGCCGGTTCTAGAGGGAGCTAGTTTGATTCTCGGGTTTCGCGAACCTAGAATTGGCCTGGAATCGATTCGACTTCTAGTTCCGGGGTTGGAGTTGCCAGTTTCCCAGGTTGGACTGGTCTTGAAACCTCTTTTAGAAAAGCAAAATACTTTTGCACCCGTAAAAAAATGTACAATGGTTTTCAACATGAACATATGACAAGATAACAACTTGACCAACGATTTCTTCTTTGTAGTGAAATGGGGTAACTTATATCTATTTTATTATAAGAATTCGATGTTTTACCCAAAACACAAAAAGCAATTGGTCCTCGAGTTTCCAGAATTGATTGGTTTGGTTCTCAATTTCATTCTTTTGGAATTGGGGGCCATAGAGTTGGTTTTCGTTTTAAGCAGAGAAGTGACATATCCTAGACCAATCATCCCTATACCTTAGGGGTGTGTAGAGGAACCGGAAACAGCCCGGATAGCCCGGAACCGGACCTGACCGGCCTGGAACTGGCGGTTCCTATGAGGATCGGTCCGGTTCCCAGTTCTAGGCGTGGAACCACCCATCCGCCCACCCGGACCGGACCGGTAATATATATACATATATATAATTTTTAAGAAAAATTTCAATCCAAAAAAAAAAGAAAATATTTTTAGAAAAGTGAAAACCATAAAATCCATAATTTGAAGTTCGACTCTCAACTCCCATCAATTCACTTCCACACCTCTAGCCGTTCATCGCCTCCCTTTCTTACTCTCGGTCACCTCCATTTGCGTGAAACTTGGCGGGACTAATTCCACGGACCCACATGGGAACCGGACCGAACCGGCGGTCTGGTTCTTGGATGGATCCATGCAACTAACGGGCGGTTTCCGGTTTCAATTTATCAGAATCGGCCCTCAGTGGGCGGTTCCCGGTTCCATGTTGGGAACTGCTCGCCTGGACCATGCTCATCCCTACTGTACCTCATACCTTAGCTCATGTCATATAGGGATCTTGTTTATTATAGGGGAAGATTCACACTTTGGGATTGTACTTGGTCACTTGCATTCATATCATTGAGACTAGAGGTGGCAAGACCTAACTGGACTCATAAAACTCGACGCGTCTCACTTGAAAGCCAATCCAATCTAAGGTGAATAAGAATAGCCTATAGCCTATACTCATCTGGACCCGTCCACGAAATAATTAACCCAAACCTTCAAAATTTGAATCATCTAGCTAGTCATGCGATCCATTCCTACCTATTAGAAAATCGGTCCGACCTAGCCAGAGTTGACTAATGGCATTTTTGCTTCGCAATGACTGATAGTATTCAAATGCTACAGTACAATCGTTTAGAGGTCTCTGCTCACAATGCGAATCAAACTCGTGGCCTCATAAGAGACATGCAACCCCGTTGATCATTAGGCCAGTCACCCTAGTGGCGACACCTAAATTTCTTACAGAAAAAAAAAATGTAGGATTTTCATTATATACAAAATGGGTGGGCTGGGCTGCTGTATTGGGCTTTACCTCCTTCATTGCTGCCATCTATTGATGAGGATAGGCGCTTAGTCACATTCGGGCTACGAGCAAGGCCCATTCATTAAGAAAGAGCCTGGGCTTCGACATGGAATATGGGCTACAAGAAAGGCCCATTATAGGAACACATCACATGCTAATTATCACGATTCATGCATGATATGATGCATTTGTGTACGATTTGGCATCTGAATTAAAAGCAAGTCGCATTGATATAGTTTGTACGAAAAAGAGAAAGGTAAAAGTCAACCAAGCTAAACTAAACTACTGTTTCAAATCAACGAAACCAAACCATACCCTATTAATTGGCATGATGCCAAGATAAATCGAATTATTTTTTCTTCTATAAATAAATGGTAAAGGTAAGATTAATAGTAGCTTCAATGTTTATGCAAATTGAAGAATTTGATTAGACAAGTTAAAAACTCAAGGACTCTCGATTGGAAAAAAAGCACATAAGTTTAGAGAGAAAGGTGGAATCTTATCAATTTTGAATAGGATGTTAGAACATTTCGTGTGCAAATCCCAATTTGCAACAATCTCGCGAGTCGCAACTACCTCATGCAAAACGATGATAGTTGATCACTTCACCAACCAACTTTATTTTTACTTGTTTTATAATTGAAGAGCACAAGAACAGAGATCACTTATTTAGAGGCTCGTAAAACACTCTACAGGTCTCATAAATTGATGATATTCGAACCTTTAGGCTTTGCAAGTAGCCCCGATTTGATTTGCCAATCGATAAGATCCCTAACCAAGGGCCCGAACTTCATTTAATCAATTTTCTTCTTCACGTGATTTTATTCATTGGCTAAAGTCTGTCTGCATAAATGCTTCATATTAAGAGACATTTGCTTTCTTTTTTAGGATTATTCCTCATAAAAGCATTCTTGTAAGTTGTAACACATGAATATTTCATGTGAAGCAACCTTATGCGATGCTGTTACCAAAGGGGAACACAAGTTTTTGTTTTTTTTTTTTGGTCGGATGGGGGAACACAAGTTACCGGTCGAGGACTTATGTCTGGTGAGAAATAAAGCTAACCAAAGTCATATTCCATTGCTACCGAATGTATGACCAACCTTTTCCTCACTGATCACATCAATGAGGCCTCAATTTTCAAAATTTAGGTGCCAAGTTTGGACTATAATGGCTGGCTACACATACCCTACCAGTCCCAACCCACCTAATTCATGTCACAAATTCAACTGAAATTAGCATTTTCCTCATCAGAATAAACTCAACTGTAAACCTCTAATTAGCTTTCTTAATAGTTAATCCAGTTAATAAAATGAAAGGAATGGTCAAGTGTTCGACGATACTAGGCCTAACATCAAAATCACTTTCGAGAAAAAGCTCTATCGAGATCCGGGCTCTGCGGAGCGCTCGACTGATTTCGCAGATCGCCACAGTCTCCTATCTCACGAGAGTTCCGGTACGGGAAAGGAAAAAAGACTCTATCCAAGGTGATCCCAAAGGAGCCGTCTTCAATGGAACTAAGAACCTAATGACAAAAGCTTCCATTGGTCATTAGGATCCTAATACCTTGCTTGACCAGGAAGTCACTCATTCAATCTCATTTTTCCTTTGTGATTTCCAGCAAAAGAAAAATAAAGAAAAAAAGTGTTCAAAAGTGCTTCAAAGAAATCCCACGTGGCAAAAAGAAAAAGGGAAAAAAAACCTGTGCCATTAAAAAAAATGATTAATCCACATGGCAAGAGATTATACATACATCATAGCCCACAAATTCATGATTGGTGTTTGAATGTGTTCATAAGTAGAACCAAGAGAATCCACAACAATGCTGCATTCTTTACCAAAATAAAATGTGATGGACGGTCGAAATGTTAATGACTTTTATCGCACTTTTTCTTATGGGCATAAGCGCAATCTTTTGTTATGCGTGTTTGCGCGATAAGTTGCACGAAAATGGTTGTGCAACCTAGGATTACGTGATTCCGCTTTAATTTGAATTTGTGATGCTTTTTTATTCGTAAATCTTTAATTTGTAGATAGCCTTGTCCTATAATGGATTGAATGCCCTACACACCTCGATATGGTTTGTGAAACCTTCTCCTCATTTGGAGCATAGCGGATGACATGACATTACTAAGTTTATCTTACAATTCATCTATGCTCGATGTCAAAGATTCGAAAAAATATTACCATATTTCGAATAAGCGGGTCAATTTGGATTGTACCCAAGCATCAACTTTCCTCGATACCAAATCTGAATTCTTTTCCCGCTCAACTAATAGATCTGAAATTAGACTCTAGGGTTTTTTCTTCCACGCACGTTCCCACCAAGTTGCACTCTTTGTTGACCTTGTTGCCCAACTACGTACCTCCATTTCACAAAAGATATTGGTGACTAGAGATTACCCTTCAAGGCGTGCATGACATATACCCAATTTGCTTCGACATCGTATCGAATCTATAGTACTTTTCGACACGATTGATTATATTACTAAGGCGAGCGAATGTCTTTTTAATATTTGTCCCGTCTTTTTTTCTTGTTTAAATATCTGTAAGATCAGACAATTTTGTTTCTGGTAAGTTGGTAACAGTAGCATGTGATCTGATACGAGGATGTCTTTGATGTGCCATCTTAGGAAGTAATAAAGAGAGAGGTATTAAAAATTTGAACAGCACGAACCAAATCATGAAGAATACTGAGGGCAGCAGTGGGCCCCACCAGAGGTACGATGATGGGCCCCAGGTGGGAGGTGGGTCCCGGCCCGAGCCCTAAAGCCCTTTGTTCTCGAGCCCCTTTTGACTTTTTATCACCAACCAATCTCTGCATGATCTCCGATGGAATAAAAAAAATGAAGAAAATAATAAAATAATAATAATTTCGAGATTTAATTGGGTTTTTCTTTTAAGATCTCGAGATTTATTTTTTAATTTTTTTTTCTTTTTACATGTGTTTTTTTTTAAGCTTATTTGGTTTGGTTGGAATCTTTGACTTGGCTCCGCTGGTTAGATTAGTGATATTCCAGGTAATTTGATGTTCCTCGGGGACTAATTGAGCGCGACTTGCGCTTCTTTGAAAAGGGGGTTAATATAACTATTTATCCTTTTAATTCTCCATGTATATAAGCAGTGGCGTTGTTCGTGCTTCTTATAATTTTCTTATGGACAAAAAAGCTCGAACTCAGAAACCCAACAAATGAAAAAAAAAGCTAAAAATTCGACGAAAGCTCGAATTCATTTTTCCGTATTTTGAAAACGAAATAATGATGCCCACAAAAAATAAACGAGACCAGGTTGTTCCCCCAATTTCTTTTATTTGGCGTTCGTCGAAATGACTCGAGAGTCGCTCGATCACTGGGTCTCTTAATTATGAATTTATATGCTTTTTAGATGCACGTGATCTCTCTCTATTGTTAGTTCGAATTTCTGGGTTCGACTTCCGAACAAAGTAACGAGGGGTCTGCCTTGGATCCTTGGTGATGGTTACCAATGTTCCTCACCAAAACAGGGGAAGTCGAAGCTTCCGACTGAGGCTATCGCGCCATGCATTTTTAAAGTGTCAGTACCCGCACGCCTGTTCCCAAAATGAAGAGAGAGTTTTTGTTCTCTTCCCAAAAAACACCTCCCGATTTTAACGTTCTATAGCTCAGACGAAACAATTTAAGGACTTGCTCGGATCTATATATCTCTTCGGGTTTGACTTCGGAATACAGTAATAATCGGTGCCCCAGTTTCTGTTCCGGCTCATTTCGCGCTCGCTCGCGCCCCACATTCGATTTCTGTCGCTTTAGGGTGTTGTCTTTGTCAAAGGAAAGCTGGAGAAAGAAACGGGAGCAAAAGGGGGCCGAACTCCTTGCACCTTTTTGCCGTGATTGGCGACGTGACGTGACGTGACAGGGAAGAGGAAGGCGGAGGAGGAGGAGGTGGGGGAGCCAATTCCGTGTCGTCTCTTTCTCCGGGTCGAATGACAAAAGGGCGGGAGGAGGGGAGGCTGACCCGACCGGTTCACCTTTTGTCCGGTTCGACGACGGTGCGCGAGCATGGAGACAAAAGCGGGGCGACGCTAGCCGCACCTGCTCCCACCACTCGCTTTACCAAACACTACTGCTACTTGCTACTGCTACTGCCCTAGCTTTGAATGCGGCCACGTGGCCCAATCAGGGGGAGAGTATCCAAGAGAGATTGCGGGAGCAAGTGTGGCCTAGACTCGTGGGAGACAAAAGGCTCGAGCTATTGTGGCTATGGCTATGGCTATGGCGAGTCTTGGGTCAATCCTCTGCGCCGAGTGGGCCCCTCCGCCCGTTCCCACGGCATGGGGCCTCTCATTAATATAATAATAATAATAACAATAATAGTATAAGAACTTATTATTGTCATGGGGAGTTAATTGGGTATTGCTCTCGGGCCAAAAGTGAATGAGACCTGCCTGCTTTTGGCACGAAGAATTATGCCTTGGGTTAGCTCGCGACACCGCCTCGACGTATTTAATGTTTGTCCATCACGTTCTGCTCCCAAAACATTGTCTAGAACTTATCCGGTCCGACAAATTTTTAGTACGACGAATGGGGATGGGAACAAATTGAATTGTGCGCCGTACAGAGGAGAGAACGGATCTAGAATATGTATATGCGAAAACTGACATTAACTCACTGATGTGACCTTTGACGCAACAACAAGCTTTGCTTTGAAATTTTAAAATTAAGCCTGCTCTATAGCACTATCATGATGGGCGATTACCTGGGAAAGCAGGGATGTGGCACTAAGCGGTAGAACAATGGTGTCTAAGACATTAAATCAAATGAAAAGTGTATGACAATGAGGATGCTAGCTAAGGTTGTATTAATAAGGCAAGCAATGGTGGTCGTGCACGTTCGTGGGATGGAATTCCCCAATCCCCCCTTTCTAACTCGCCGCGTACCCACCAAAGTTTGGGAATGTTTCCATTGATCGCCTTTGTTTTCTCCTACATTAATGGCGTTAGTGCATCGACACTACACCCATCATTCCATGCACAATCCCCATTTGCCTCTTCTAATCACCCCTTGGCCGTCCGTCGGATATTAGTACTATTTACGACGAATTAATTTGACAAGCTCGACGAATTCCGGATCATAACGTACTTTGAATGTTACTCTAATATACACGAACATCGTATTGATATATATATTTAGATTATACTTAATGTCCGACTTGAAAATATGTCCGTTCAGAACGTATGAACTTGTTGTTTCGTTTTTCATTTTATTATTTGAAGCCTTGATTTCTTGAAACTCAATTAATCAAATGGCGGGCGTGGACCTAAGGATCTTGTTAACGAGAATCGTGGTGATTTTTGGATGCGAAAGCCTGTGTTAATCTAATGGGTTCTCTAATCCTCCATCAGCCCTCAGGTGTTACGATGGATTTTTTCTTTTAAGAAAAGAAATTGGTTTTTGCCCTTTTGTTTATCGGAATAACTTTCGATATTCCAAAATTCACTTTAGTCATCACCCACATCAGTTTGACCGCGACGCACCGGGAAACCCTAATCTTTGACCGTTACGAGCGGCGCCAAACCCCACATCTGCCTCCGTGTTCCACGAGGAAGAAGCACAAATGATCTGTCTCCGTCTCTCTCTCTCCGTTAGTTCCCCTCATGCTCTGTTCCTCTCGCAGTCTTTTAAGCTTTAACCCAACCCTTTCACTCTCTCTCTCTCTCTCTCTCTCTCTACCAAGAAGAAGGAGAAGAGGAAGAAGAAGGCGAAGAAGCGTCTAAATAAACTAAACCCGAAAGCATTCTTGGTAATGATGAGAGGAGAGGCGAGGCGCACGTAAAGAAGGAGACCAAGGAGAAGGGAAGGAGGAGGAGGAGGAGGAGGAGGGCCTGGTTGAGCATAATTAAAGTTGACATCTCTTTTCTGGAGAGAGAGAGAGAGAGCGAGGGAAGCTACGACCCCATCATCAGATTCATCCACAGTGAGGTGAGGGAGAGAGAGAGAGAGAGAGAGAGGGTAGCGTGGCTTTTGTCTCGCCTCGCGGCTATGCGTTCCAAAAAGAGAACCGCCAAGACCCAATAAGAAGTAGAGCCCATCATTGCCATTCGCCGTTTGTTTTGCACCCACTTCTCCCCCGTTTCGCTCTCCAGCTCGAGCTCGACACCATCATTCTTTCTCTCTCTCTCTCTTTCTTTCCTTTGCTTTTCCTCGCTCTCTGAGCAGCCACTGCTTCTGGGTGAAGCTCCTCTGTTTCTCTCTGTCTCTGTCTCTGTCTCTGTCTCTGCGCGTTGTGTGTGTGGACGCTCGGTGGCGGGTTCTTGATATGGAGAAGAAGCAGGGGTTCTTCTCGGCGCTCAAGGACGAGGTGGTGCGCGGCCTCTCCCCGTCGCGGTCGCGGTCGCGGCCCCGGTCGCGCTCCAGGGCCAAGAGCCCCGGCAGGAGCGCGTCGCCGATGGGCGGCCTCTTCAGGCGGAGGAAGGGGGGGCAGGTGGCGCCGCCCGAGCTGCTGATCTCGAGATCCGGGAACCTGATGATGAGGCCCGTGGAGGCGCTCTCGCCGTTAATGGAAGGCCCCGATCCGGACGGCGCGGAGTGCGGGGATTCCAGGAGGGGCCACTGGATGCGGGCGCCGTCCGTCTCCTCTTCCTCCTCCGCCGCCGCCGCCGCCGCCGCTAGCAAGCAGTCGGATCTGAGGCTTCTGCTCGGCGTGCTCGGGGCGCCGCTCGCTCCCGTGCACGTGGCCGCCTCCGATCCCCTACCTCACCTCAGTATCAAGAACATCCCCATTGTTAGTTCTCTCTCTCTCTCTCTCTCTCTCTCTCTCTCTCTCTCTAGATCCCTGTAATGGGTTGGTATATTTCTGGGAAAGTTAGTATATAGCTTGCGCCAAATTACTAAAATGTTTGATAAATTACTGTGTTTCTGTTGACTAATCCGTAATGCTGTGAAGTTTTGAAACATTTTTACCAACTTCGGGTTCAGCTGTTCGGCTTTTGTTTCTCTGAGTGAGTCATGGTGGAGGTGATGAAACTGTGCATGCTCTGCTTCTGGGCATTTTCTAACATTGGTCAAATGGTATGGCCAATGCATGTGTTTTCTCTGCGTTTCTTCCATGAAATGTTATTTGGTAAACTGTCACTGGTGAGAGTAGTATACAGCATATATCACTTGGCTAAGTAGATTTATGTCTCCGACCCAAAAAAGAAGTACATTTATGTTGGAAAGAAACTTCGATTTGAAGAAACAAGTCAGAATTTTTTTTCTGATTTTGTTAAGGGCGATTTTGCAGGAATCCTCGTCCGCTCAGTACATACTGCAGCAGTACATGGCGTCGTCTGGAGGACAGAAGCTCCAGAACTCCATTAACAATGCATACGCCATGGGAAAGGTCCGGATGATAGCCTCCGAATTCGAGACGCTGAACAAAGTCATCAAGAACAAGAATTCCTCCAAGGCCACCGAGTCGGGCGGCTTTGTTCTCTGGCAGATGAATCCTGACATGTGGTATGTCGAGCTGGCGCTTGGGGGCAGCAAGGTTCACGCCGGCTGCAATGGGAAGATTGTATGGAGGCACACGCCATGGCTCGGCGCGCATGCAGCGAAGGGACCTGTTAGGCCTCTCCGTCGTGCACTCCAGGTGAATATTTCTCCATTCTTTACACCGACTATTAACAAGAGGAATTGAAATGATTGAAATAATGAATTATCTTGCGTCCAATACTTAGCAGTTAGCCGGACCCAATTAGCAGGATGATAAAATACCTTGTCGAAAAAGAGTTCTGTTTGCATGTCTTATTTCAATTGTGTTATCCGGTCGTGTATCAGGGTCTTGATCCAAGAACGACGGCAAGCATGTTTACCAATGCACGGTGTATCGGGGAGAAGATGGTCAACGAAGAGGACTGTTTCATTCTTAAGCTTTGCGCAGACCCTGTTACCCTGAAGGCCAGGAGTGAAGGACCAGCTGAAATCATACGGCACGTTTTGTTTGGGTACTTCAGCCAGAAAACAGGGCTCCTCGTTCACTTGGAAGACTCGCACTTGACCCGGATCCAGAACAATGGAGGCGATGCCGTGTATTGGGAGACCACAATCAACTCCTTCCTTGATGATTATAGGCCTGTGGAGGGAATTATGATCGCACATTCGGGGCGGTCAGTAGTGACCCTTTTCAGGTTCGGAGAAACTGCAATGAGCCATACCAAGACCAGGATGGAGGAAGCATGGACCATCGAGGAAGTGGCATTCAATGTCCCGGGACTGTCGTTGGATTGCTTCATCCCTCCTGCAGAAATCAGATTATCCTCAATCAGTGAAGCCTGTGAACTCCCTCATGGTCAGAGAGCAAAGAATGTGGCTGCTAATCTCATTAGTAATGTACATCGCGCCAGAGTTGCTTCACTAGACAGATCTCATGGTAGCCTGGCCCGCAATTACATTTAGGGAGATGGATGCTCGAAAAGGAAAAAGATGCAGCTGATCTTTTCCCTGTGTAATAGCGTGGAGAAGCTACCGACCACCATTAGAAGGTAATATGAATTTCAGCACTTGATCGAACATCCAAAATGTAAATAGAGCGCAACAGGTCGTGGGAGGTGCCAGACTGCCAGGAAGTGGGATTATAATGGAATGTACCGGTGGAATTTACTTTTTCCCTTTCCCTTCTAGAACAAGATCAGCTCTTTTGTTCAAATTTTAAATCAGGATATCCTGGAATCACATTCGAAGTGTGATTCTTGTGGAGGTTGCTCATTGAGCGCAAGCCAATCGATATACTCAAAGATGATCAGAAAGACATGTAAAAACCCGAGCAACTTCAGCAATGTGCATAGTCGAAGTTTTCCTGAATTCCCCACCGAGTTCATCTTTTTTGTGGATGTAATCGTTAGCACTCACAGCCAGATGAAAAACATCAACATGATCTTCAATGAGAATGCCGTGATAAATAAGATGCCTTGTTCTTAAAGTTTCTTAGCTTGTACTGCTCTGTTTCTTTGCCTTCAGTTCAGGCAACTAAATCATGCTAGCCCCACCATGGAAGACATAGAGTAAAGTACTTATTTTTATGTCCGACCAATCTAGTACCTTGGATGTGAAACTTTTATATTCTTGTCCTATATCTCTTCAAATGTTTTAGGGGGGAAAATCCCACTCTACAAAGTGGGCATGTCCACTTTTTCCTTTAACTGTCGATGGTTAGAATCTGTCTTAATGAATGCTTCAATGGCCCTTTACACTGGTCATGGCCACAACCACAGGACATCACAGGTTCCAAATTGCCCTATGGAACTACTTGCCCCAAATCATCCAGATTTGCTCAGAAAATGCCCTCCTGCCTTGTCCTTACAACTATGATCCGCCATGAGCAAGAAGGGCTCAGAAGAGAGCTATGTGAAAAATGTCGTGGGTTAGCAATATTTGGCGTATCATTCGTCGCATTATTCACAGATCTCAACTTGGATATCTATGCATCCATGTTTGTTGTGCTCTTGCTGAGTGCACACAAGGTGCTTCTGTCAAGTCATGCCTGCTGAGCATGGTGGTTATGCAGATGTTTTGGGATTTAAAACGTACTGAAAAAATAGGCTCTGAAGATTTTGGACAATTGGCTAGACAAATGAGCAAATATCTGTGGCTTGCAGGGTATAGCATAAGCACAGCCATTCGGACTAAGCAACTATGCTCGAGGCAAAAATTCAAGGGAGAAAAGAACATACCACTATGCAAACATAGACAGATGCAGAGTTTCTCTCCTTCAAGTTTGATCTTGAACGGTTGGAAAACTCATGACAAAATCTTTCGGAATGTGATGAAGGCTGACTGAACAGAAAATACCCACAATTTGCTGATGTACCAAATCATTAGCTGAAAACCCCGTTAATTGCTGGTGCTATCTTCCAACTGTCTTAATGACACTATTCTCATTTAATTTCACCAAAACGCGCAATGCTTTAATGCGGTGAAGTTTCCTAGATACTTCGCTCTCAGTCGAAGTTTGTCATACTTACACCAGATTCAGTCAAAATGCACGTTGTCCTTGAAGAGCAACAGGTGTTTGAGCGCATTACCGTTACACCAAAGTCTGTAAATGATGGAGACTAACACATAATTTTCTGTCACTTTCTAGCTTGTCCTAATGCTTGAGCTTGCACAACTTCAAGCATGATTTTCTGAGACATTAACCATCTTAGGTTGAGCTCATATGCCTCTTTGTTTCTACAACTGCACAACCGGTCTGATCGTTTTCCATGTTGGTCTAATAACACCAGCAATACTGAATGTAAATGACACATGAGTGTTTTAAATTCCTGTTACTTAAGTCCTTACCTCACCATTTTGCCGCTTCGCTTTAAATCAACGTCTATAAGTCCAATTACTGAATTTGAACCCCTCCTTGGATTAACTAGGTAGCTTCTAAATTATTTTGCCAGCCTTGAAAAGGTTTTTTTCACACTGCACTTTAGATGAATGTTTTTCCTTTTCTGACTATATTCATTGTTAATGCAGAAAGAGCATAATTACCGGGTAACCATGCCCTCCTGCCCTGTCCTTACAACTATGATCCGCCATGAGCAAGAAGAGCTCAGAAGAGAGCTATGATAAAAAAATGTCGTGGGTTAGCTATATTTGGCTTATCATTCGTTGCATTATTCACAGATCTCAACTTGGATATCTATGCATCCATGTTTGCCTTGCTCTTGCCGAGTGCACATATGGTGCTTCTGTCAAGTAATGCCTGCTGAGCATAGTGGCTACACAATTGTTTTGGAATTAAATCGTACTGAAAAACTAGGCGGTGAAGATTTTGGATAAATGGCTAGATAAATGAGCAAATATCTGTGGCTTGCAGGGTCTTGCATAGCACAGCCATTCGGACTAAGCAACTATGCTGGAGGCCAAAATTCAAGGGATAAAAGAACTTATCACTATGCAAACATAGATAGGTGCAGAGTTTCTCTCCCTCAAGTTTGATCTTGAACGGTTGGAAAACTCATGACAAAATCTTTTGGAATGTGATGAAGAAAGACTAACTGAACAGAAAATACCCACAATTTGCCGATATACCAAATCATTAGCTGAAAACCCCGTTAATTGCTGGCGCTATCTTCCGTCTTAATGACACTTTTCTCGTTTAATTTCACCAAAACGCGTAATGCTTTAATGTGGTTAAGTTTCCTAGATACTTCGCTCTCGTTAGAAGTTTGACATACTTACATACCAGTTGTAGTCAAAATGCACGTTATCCTTGATGAGAATAGGTGTTTTGAGTGCATTACTTTTACACCAAACTCTGTAAATGATGGAGACAAACACACAATTCTCTGTCACTTTCTAGCTTGTCCTAGTGCTTGAGCTTGCACAACTTCATGCGTGATTTTCCGAGACATTAACCATCTTAGGTTGAGCTCATATGCCTCTTTGTTTCTACATCTGCACAGCCGGTCTGATCGTTTTCCATGTTGGTCTAATTTCATCAGCAAAACTGAATGTAGATGGCATATGAGTGTTTTATAATCCTGTTGCTTAAGTCCTTACCTCACCATTTTTCCACTTCGCTTTAACTCTACGTCTATTAATCCAATTACTGAATTTGAACCCCTCTTTGGATAACTAGGTGGACTCCTAATTTATTTGGCCAGCCTTGAAAAAGTTCTTTTCACACTGCAATTTAGATGCTTGTTTTTCCTTTTCTGCTTATATTCATTGTCAATGCAGAAAGAGCATAATTACCTGGTAACCATGCAATCAGTCTATATAGCTTGCCTAGCTCCAATATGTCATTTTCCCGTGTCGGTCCTTGTTTCAATCACATCAGTTGCAACCCAAGATCATGAGCAAAAGTAGTAAATTGCTTTCGAAACCATGATTTACCATTACCTGTACCTCTAGATAGTCTATCTGCAATTTACAGTAGACAAAAGATCCATGGCTTTGAGTGATCATTAATTCGTCTATATGCAGTTTGGCATGCTGTATTTCTGTCATCTCTGCTGTCACGTGAAACAAATACCACGTTGCATGTTGACATTGACATGACGTCATTGATCAACCAAATATTTACATTTCCATCCAAGATTCAAATCGTGTTTAAAGATCTGCAACAAATCAATGTGTGGGGATTGGTTAATGTTATCACATCAACATGTCACGTGGTACTAAACAATGTTACTCAATATGCTTTCTCCGGTTGCATAACTGCCTCTACTAGGAACTCACACCTATAAATTAACTACAACGGTATGTATATGCTCCAAGACCGAGTGTAGAAGCTTCATTTACTACCCGAGGTAGACTACATTAATTACAAAGGAACAAAATCTGAATCAAATTAGGATAGATTGCTCTTTCTGCATATTTGCATCTCTACCACGACAAACTGTGCTCTTTTATTTTCATGATCAGGGACTTTGAAAGCAGCAAACCTCTTTCCCCGCTTGTTGTTCGCGGAATGGACCAAAGCCAGATAAGGACATCCTAAAACGCCTAGAATTTCCTCCTACACATCCTAAAAGTCATGATTATATACTTTGATATGCAACCTGAGTCATCGACACGGGCCGCATATTTAATTACCGTCGTAAACCACATTCCTAGAAACTGATTCGGATTTCTTCTCGTTCTTCAGGCTCGTTATTCTAGTACACTGTGCTTTCATAGATAGTGACTGCATATTCTTGAGACCACCAACATTCCTACTAAAGTTCCAATAAGCGTATAAAGCTTCTGTACTTGGGAACTTGGAGTTGTGGGAGAAAATATTTGTCTGGAGGAGCAACCTGGGAATAATGTCAAGGGACCACAAACACCGTGTCTGAAAAATGGAATTGCAATCCTGATTTTCAGCTGTGGTCCCTCCTAAGCTTTTTGTGCACTCCCATTCTCTACAGAACTCATAAAGTGGATGAATCAGGAGGATTTTCTGCAAAAAGAATTCGTGCTCTCTCTCTCTCTCCCTCTCTCTGACTAGTCGCTGTACACCACAGCTTCAGAATTTTGTGTCATTATATTAAGGGTTCCTTCGTCTAGCTCATTGCCAGAGATTGTGATATCTGTAATTTCTTCCCCACAAAAGTACTAAGTTGGATCAATTGCTGCATGCCAAAGGGAGAAAAAAACATGAAAAGATAATTAGGGTTTTGGTAGTAGGTTAGAGGGTTTGTAATTAGCTGTCTTTATTTTGTACTGGAAGCTGATGATCAAATCAGGTTTCCAAGAGACTATTGCTCATATGTTGTGTCTAATCAACTTATGTAACACAATTTGAAACCCGAAAGCTCACTAGAGCTTCAAAAAAGGGGGGAATGGATTTCACGTGCCTCTAAATATTGTATCCTTCATATTCTACTAGTCACCTATAGAATGAGTCTATATCTAAAAGTTGCTTTCTATTATCTAGATATAAATAATAAAGCAGCGATAATCTCTTTGACGTGAGAGAATCTACATCCAGACAACATCATGATGGAAGCGCACAAGAGAATATAATTAGTTTTCTTCGAAATAAATTAAGCTTGAGCTTCATTAGAGTTGGAAGATTTGTTCTCTTGCCCACAATCTTTATGCTGCATAAGACAAAAGAGCTTTTTGAAGCAAAAGGGCAAAAGATGCAACATGAAAATTGATGATTTTCTATGCCAAAACCAGACTTCAACTTAGAATTTGTTTAAACTCTAAGGCAGGGTAAGGACCACTGAAGTTGCTTTTCTGATGTTGGAAGCACTAAGCTACAAGGGTAGAGCAACTTTCTGCTTTTGAAGGGTATTATGGTGCAAAGTTGAGTCAAGAATATCAGATTACTTGAGCATGACTTCATAGTTCAAAATCACTATATTCTCATCTGAACTTGTTCTTCAATATCAGACTCAATCAGACTATTGTCTCCAAGCAACGATCAAATTCCAGTGTTTGGAATGAAATTATCTGTAAGAAAAGAACTACTGTTGAATAAGCAAACTACCAAAAATC